CCAAATCATGACAATATTAATGCTTTAATAATCATTTTGTTTGCTCATTATCACCACTAAACTGGTGATATTTTGTCTGTATTTATGTTTCATGCTTTTATCTTTACATGTTCAATGTGTTTGAATGTTTTTTATCAAGATGCATTTTGCATCTCTACATGCTTGTATGTTTAAGGTTCTGATATCTCCGTGTGGTGCTGCTCGGGGGGGGGCTTTTGTTTTCTCCGTGTTTCCTGCTCGTGTCGTTCTGTGTAACCGCTCACAGCACAAATTCTACACTGGTGTGACATCACATTATACATCAGTTTATTACATAACAGTCTTGCCTCACACGACACGGCGTCTAAATCAGTTTGATATCAAAGCTCTCCATCTCGATATGAAACATAAAATCATAAAACCATGAAATCAGAGAACCAGGCCCAGAGAGGAGCCAGAGTCAGAGAGATTATGGAGTTCAGTTTAACGTCAGAATAACAACAACACACTAATCCTCGCAACGGACGGATCAGACGCTCACACAGGGCAGATGTGTGTGTGTGCTTTTGTGTGTGTGTGTGTGTGTGTGTGTGTAGGTGTGTGTGTGAGTGTGAGTGTGATAATTTGAATGCCTGTATCCGTCCTATAAAAAGTGTGTCAGTGTGAAAGTGTGAACATGTGTGCGTCTCTAATGTCACTAAAGCTTCTGTGTTCTGATTGGCTGCTGCCCACACACGCTCCCCCCCTGCTGGCACTGATGTGTGTGCACGAGGGGGGGGGGGGGGGGGGTATAAAGGGTAAAGACAGGGATAATATGAGGCAGAGGAGAACAGCTGGGCTTCAGAGACGGAGCGGTTTGTTTCTTCAGTCGATACATCGCTCCTCTAACCTCTGGATCAGCAGGTAAGGCTCACCTGTCATCATGCTCTCACCTGTCCTCGTGTTCTTACCTGTCCTCAAGTCGCCTCGGCTGATGTCCTTGTGCCCTCATGTCCTCTGAGTTCTCTGCTAAGTGCTCTCTTACAGTGATACAGTGATGATAGAAGACTGTTTTAGTCCTGTTTTTCTGTTAAAGCAGAGGTTTGTTCCTCTGTGTTCTTCAGAGTTTTGAACCATGGATGAAGAATAAGATGATCTGCTGTGTGTTTGGTGTGAAGTCAGGTCGTTATCTGGTCTGAATGTGTGAATCTGTCTTCATCATACTGAAGTCTGACAGCTCGTACTTACATTTTACAGACTTTTCAATATTTCTCCCAGTGGACGTTGACATGCAGCTGCACTCAGTCTTTATAGCTCACATGTCACATGTCACATCACATGTTTGGTCTTTGTATTGATAATCTTAGTATTTCATACAAATCAATCTAAGGCTCTGCCCATTTATCTGACAGTCTAAAAACATATCCTGTTATTCTGAAAACAGATTCTGAAAAATGTCCCATTGATCAGTTTAACTTCCACTGATTTGTGTGTGTGTGTGTGTGTGTGTGTGTGTGTGTGTGTGTGTGTGTGTGTGTGTGTGTGTGTGTGTGTGTGTGTTTGTGCATGTGAATTGTAGCCGGGTGTTTCAGCACCATGGACAGAGCTAACAGTCATTGAGGGCCTGATTCACTGAGAATGGATTGCGGCCAATAATAACTCCACACGTTCTGCCTCATTAGCTCCCTCTATCTGCTCCCTCTCAAGCTCTAATTCACAAATGATATAGCTCTTATGATATGCCTGCACAAACATGTCCAGCAGTTTGCTGGTGTTTTGTGTTTTGTGTCTGAATATGGAGAGACGTTACCTTTTCTCTGCATGGAGCTGCACTCTCATGCTGATAGAGCTTCTGTCCACATAAAGATGATGAGTTGGAGGAGGGGAGGGGAAACTTTTCTAACTTGATTGTGAGGGCATTTCTAAGTCATAGACAGGTGGAATTGTTTTCCTGATCACTGGACAGTTTGAGCACGACATCACTTAGAAATACTGCGGCGCAGTTACCACCAACTCTCAGCAGAATGTCTTGTTTTATTGTAACGGTGTGTGGCTGTTTGTGAATTTGATCATTTTTACCATGAGGCTGATTTGCATTGAAAGGGAACAAATCTTCCACTTATAACTGTAAAATAGATCACTTGACTACTCACAAACAGAGACACTATGTGTTTATGGACCGAACAGTTCTGGTGACGTTTTGAAGAGGATCTGTCTACTAGGGGAGTTTCCTGAGAACTACACACCATGGGGACATTTTTTCCTGGTGATGGATGATATGAACTTTAAAGTGACGTAAGACAGCCAAGAGTTGCTATAGCAACATCACTTACGCAACATAACTGAAAATATGGAGGATGCCGTGGTGGGAGCTGTGTGTTTGTTGTGTGTGATTGGGTTTATTATGAACATAACTGAGTTTGAAAGCGTTGTTGTTACTTTTGTCTGTGTCTTTTTCCCATTTTTAATGATTTGAAGAGCCTTTTAAAATAGTGACTGTTTTTTACGGAGGGATTTTAAAATGTCTGTTGGCGGTATTTGATTGGCTCCAGTGTTCGATCAATGACGTATGGACCAATCACTGTGTACTTACGTCCCTCTTGTGCTTGTAGAGCACCTACTCTGAAACAAGAGCTTAAAAAAGGTCAAAGCAAACACAATGTCTGATCAGAAAGTGTTTGATCCTTCTTTGGAGTTAAGTGCAGAATTATGTTTGTGCTGTTTTTGGAGAATCTGAGTTAGATCTTTACAAATATTTACCATGCAGTGTGAAGACAAAAGAAAAGGTTACATGAGGGATTTGGAGAGAAATGGTTATATGACGTATTGTTAAAGAAACATTTTACAGACATATATTCAAATCAAGCACGATAATGTCACTGAATGTTATCTTGAAGCAAACTTATCAAGCACTCATTGATGTTAGGTTACAGGAGGTTACTGCCCCTCGCTCTTCAAGTTGTCAGATTTAAAAACTCCCCGGAGGAACTCAGACTTTGCGAATGATTTGTGATTGAGGAGGAGTGGAGAATGAACTGCATTTTCTTTTGTAAAGTCCTTTTTTATGATGAGTTAAGAAAACCTTTGATTAATGAAATGTATGTTCTGCTCTGATGACGACAGGGTAGAACAGTTGGGTACTTTCAGTGTTTACAAGTCGGTCACTTTTGTCTCCACAGAAACATTACAATGGTTTATTCTCTCAGTGTTTCTATTGTTTAGTGTCTACTTTGGGTTTCTGCTCTCTTTGTATCAATGACGGTGTATTGTGAGCATATGCTGGGTATACTGTTTATGCATGACAAAATAATACAGTTAAATCAAATCAATCAAAAATATCTCCCTGGATAAATAAACTATGAGAGAAAATAACAATTAAACACCGAAAACATGTAAAGAAAAAAGAAAAAAGGTTCCTTCTCTGATCTGTGAACCAATCTGTGCCAATGCTCCATCCAACTTGTCAATGATGTGTGTGCTCATGTGTGTGTGTGTGTCTGCGCACACACAGTTTCATCTCTCTCTGACCTTGTCTGTCATCAGCTGAAGACTAAAGCATATAATGATTCTCAGTGTTGAAAAAGAAAACCCTCTGCATGCATCATTCATGTTATTATTTTAAATCTTCATCATCTATACATAAAGCAGGATTACAGGTAACTACGTTATTAAAGGTGTGATCCAGTCAGTGACCTCTGATCGGAAATCACAGTGAGGAAGGTTGAAAATCGTCAGTCATATTTTTATCCAAGAGAGAGAGAGAGAGAGAGAGAGCACTGTGTAAGTTACACATAAACGTTGGTAACTTCTGGAAAAGCAGGAGAAGCTGGAAAGGAGCGATCAGTAGCTGAATAGATGCAAACAGACCTGGTGGCAGTGGATGAAGATTCTGACAACCATGCTTATAATAACAGCATGGTTTATTTCAATATTAACACAACAATATTTTTACAGTGCACTCTTTTTTACAGCAGTGAGTGTGCTCCATGTGAGACCCTCTGAGCATGCACCAGGCTTCATATTGACCTGTCTGAAACCTGCACACCCGGGGCGATGAGGGAGAGCACGAACACTGATACATCGATATTCACTGAAAGCATGCCAAATTAAAACCGGGATAGATATTGACCCGGTTGTTCCTGGACTCAGCTGGATTCATTTGGAAAAGAAGGAGGAGCTGGAGACGAGTGAGGGGAACCCCCGATCCTCTCCAGCTCCTCCTTCTTGTCAAAACGTTTTGTTAATTACAAACAATAAATCACCAAATATTGGGTGTCTATGGCTTCTATTGTTGTTGCTGTGAAACTGGTATTCCCACCATTTGATTTCAAATAGAATAATATATTTTCTACAGCTGGTCAAGTGGAAGAACCCTCCACTGCTGAAGACTTTTTGAATAAGAGTAGTTCTGCATTAACAAAGTAAACAGTTTAAATATTAATCAGACACTCTAAAGACCCCATGCATTAACAGAACCAGGATCCATAAAACTCCTCAGAGAAACCACAGCACTGCTTCTGATATGCGATGAGTCAGGGAAGATCTTTAGGATTGTTTTGTGACAACACGCTTAAACATAAAAATGTTTAAAGGACAATTCTTCAATTTCTAAACCTGAACTCTTTTTTTTTTTTCTTCTTATACAAACGTTGGGTTCAGTAGATGTGACAGGTGAAAAATAACTTTAAACCCTGTATTCTATTTTACAGTCTGCTGATGAACCTCACCTTTTCCCCTTACTGATTTAGACCCAGAACATGTAAAGAGTGTCCGAAGTGTAAAGTTTGCTTCTTATTTTAGCCTGCATTAAAAAAGTTGTAATATTGAAATAATATTCTAGCGGAACAAACTTCATGTTCTGGTTGCGCAGAGTTGTGACGTCACCAATAATGTATCGGATTAGACCATGATTTACTGAAGCAAGTCGTGTCCCTGCTGGACTAGCCCACTTGTTAGATAGATAGGCTATCTATAACAGTGTTGGGGGGGGGGGTCCGAGTGCAGCACGCCCTGCAGAGAGAGAGAGAGTGAGAGAAAGAGAGAGAGAGAGAGAGAGAGAGAGAGAGAGAGAGAGAATACTGTCAATATGATTTATCTCTTCCGCTCTGTTTCACGAACATCAGAACAGATCAGGTCGATATATATTCTGTTTCCTCTCTCTCATCTCTCTCTCTCCGCCACGCACACACATACACACACATACACACACATCCACACACACACACACACACATTTTCACGCGCCGCAGCGGCATCCTGTATGCGTCCATCCTCGCGCCAGCGGGTGGCCGCCTGGCTGCTCGCGCTGCCGTTGGGAAGGCAAGGTGGAGAGGAATGCGCGCGCCGCGGCCGGCTGGAGATGATCTCGTTCTGGCTGCTGTGCTGGAAGCTGCTGGTAGGTTTAAAAAAAAAAAAAAACCGCATCACAGAGCTCATTGTGCTCCGGCTGCAGATTATAGCGGACGTGTTTGGCGGCCGTCCTGCAGCCTGTGCGCGAGGTGTGCATGCGCGCGAGGCTTAATCTTATATAGCTCGAGCTACCATCAAATAGCGAGTGTCTTGGCTTCTGTATGAGCGCTTATCTGTCACGATTCTGGTGCTTCGCCCGGTGTGAGGGCGTGCGTTATGTAAGAGGGTGGCTCAGCACTCCTCTGACAGAATAGAAAGGAACGGGATCATTAGAAGTGATGAGAACAGATCCGAGCAGGGACCGTGTAGAACTGCTCTCTGACTGAACAACACTGCTTCACTCCATCCCATCCGTCATCTTCTATAAAACACACGAGGCCTAAAGCTGATCAGTAATCCTCACACACACACCCCCACACACACACAAACCCACACACACACACACACACTCAGAGATGATGATGATGATGACGCTGTCTCCAGATGTTTGAGTTGAGGGTAATCAGAGATTCCACACTAAGTGTACTGGCTTCAGAGTTCTGATGTCATGACAGCAGAATTGAAACTTTGATAGCCTGATAGTGAATCAAACAGTATTGATGCCATGGCAACAAAAATACAAGCTATTTTGACACCTACCGGTTCATTTATTGTTTTTTATTCCCGAATAACAGGTGAACTCCTATGCACAATTTAGACAACGCGCAGGGCGTTTTGTTGAAATATGACTGGCGATTTGTTGATTTGTAGATCTGTAGTTTTTTTTTACCTGTACTCCTTTTTTAAAGCTTCAGTACTGTTTGACACATATTGCGTCATTTTTAAAACACGTGGTGGAATCAAAAAGTTTTGAAAATGTCGACCATCTTGGTTCACATCCAGGCAGGCAGTGATCGGACGCTGGGATTAGAGCCGAGAGCTGAAAATCCTCCCCCAGATGCTTTGACCTCTCTCTCGACAAATTGAAGATTTATCTTTGGAGAAAAATGATTGGAGGACTGCAGACGTTATGAACACTCAGTAAATCTCCTCATTCAGCCTCGGTCATGACTGTAGCAGAGGGTTTTATCTTGTGCAGCGCACTCAGAGTCAGGACGTAGGTCGCCATGAAGAGGGGATAAAACAATCTTTATAACCAGACACAGATGACGCATCACCTTCTTTAGAAACACAGGAATTGTTGGTCTGCTTCTGCCTCAGTGTGACGTTTGTGTTTGCTTAGATCTCAAATCATTTTTGTCTTACACATGATGACACAAACAAACTGATTAAGGCAGCGTTGCAACAACAACCTCTGTGTCCTGTGAGTTCATATTCCTGTTTTTATGAACGTAGTCTGGTGTGTTTGTAAAGAGGTATGTAACATCTGTTTGTGGTTAAATAAAATCATATTCCTCTTTAACAAAAAGGTCTGTCTCTGTAGGATCCTTTCTGTAATGTAGTCACACACTTAAGATAACAATCTGAGCCTGTCGGTGGACACACTTTGTTCCATCAAGGATTACCATGAAATCCCACTGGGGCGGCTGCGGCTCAGTTGGTAGAGTTGATCGGGGGTTCGATCCTCCAGCCACATGATCGATGTGTCCTTGGGCAAGACACTTAACCCCAAGTTGCACCTGCTGCTTCATCCGTTTGCGTTTGAATGGATGAGTTACTTCTTATGGTCATTTTACACAGCAGCCTCTGCCGTCAGTGTGTGAATGTGTAGGTGTGACCTGCGGTATAAAAGCACAAAGCTTTGAGTATAGTCAGAAAAGAGCTCAAGTGCTTTTACCTTCAGAATGTTTTTCTCTGACAAATGCTTTAAACGTTCTTCCTTTTGGGATGATTTCCATTCTGTTCAGCACCATGTGTAGCTCTTTTCGTACCATCTGTTTTCACCATGTGGAGTTTCTAATCCTGCTATCTTAGTTAAGATCTCATCCTGCGGTAACGTTGATAGTTGTGAAGTACAGACACACAGCCCATGAGTCTCTCCTCTGGTCACTTGTCGTCTGTCATTGAGGAGTCTTTTATCATCAAACCAGCACTCCACAAACTGTGTTCACTTAGCAGTATACCATGCATGATTATGACCTCATGACAATGAAAAGATTGGAAACAAAAAGTGGCACAGCCAGTTCCGTATGCGTCGCTAGGTATCCGGTATTATCAAAGTATGACCCACCCTAACTGCTCCTCTGAACGGACCAATGAAGGCAACGGGTATCAGTCAATTAGAGACAGAGTAGGGTTGGTCACTCCTTTGCCCTTCAAGGAAAAACATTGCAGCTTACTTTTGAATAATGCATCAGAGGGGATTTAGAAGTGGGTATACACAACGGAGACTGCTCTCAGTCATTACAACAACTGAGTTTCAGGTGGTATTAATATCAAAGTAATGAAAATGTGAACACCCGAGAGCATTGTGATGATTTAATGACTGGACTTTATGACTAAAGTTTGTCTCGGTGAAGAATGATTCAAGAGGAACACAATCATTGCACGGACCGACATGAAACAGTTCATTCTTTACGAAGACTCTGTTTAAAAAAAATGCATCATTCAGTTTCCACCTGGAGGCTGTAAAAGCTGTCGGTTCAGGTGTGTCTGGTGTTCTGGCAGCTTTCAGGTGTCCTGTTGACACGAGTACTCTGGTGTGCAGCGAGGAATCACTGATCCGATCCCTACCTGAACCGTCTGAAGTCTGCTCAGGCTGACAGGCAGTCTGCAGGCCTGTCAGGTCAAGTTTACTTCTGACTGTTTCAGGTTAGAGATCATAACACTGAGATATCTACAAGTTCAAATGTTTATAGTTTAGTTATCATCATCATCATCAGCATCATCATCATCATCCCTGTTATCATACTGTATTTATCACAGAATCATTGTACATGTCAGTGAGAGTTGTTTCAGTGTGCCGGTGACTTCACTGAGAGAGGAGCAACTTTAGCACGCCCACCTCTGCATCTAGACTCTGTGTTACCATAGCAACACCTCCAGCCTGTCACCAGCACATGCCCGAAACCACAGACCATAATAATCTGCAAACCCACTCACAGCCAACGCATCGTCGCCACGGCAACCATCTGAAGGCTCCTCAACATTTATAGAAACACTTTGTGTGTGTGTGTGTGTTTGTGTGTGTGTGTTGCATTACCTGTTTTAGTGTTGAAGCTGTGTCTCTATAAACTCGATGTGTTTCTAAATGAATTAGAGTAGATGTTGCCTGAGTATTACAAATGCATCATCATTAGAGGAGTACAACCTGGAGTTTAATGGGAACAAAAATAAATTCTGTTATATAAATAGATCCAGATGAGAAGTGAGTGATGATTAAAAAAAAAAAACAAGCTGTCCGTGTGCAGCCTGCAGTGTTTCTGACTTTGTAGGTCATCTTCAGCCCGGTCATTCTGAAGCTGCATAAATGAATATAGGAATATATTAGTTAGATCAACATGACATAGAGTGGCAGCAGAGCAGCTTCAGAGACACACTGACCCTCCCTGGAGCTACTACCAGCAGAGCAAGCAGGCTGTGTGCACTATTTGCGGGGGGGACAACAAAGGGGACATTTTCTCAAGAGCAATTCCTGAGGGGGGATATCAAAGCTGCCATCAAAAGTACTAAAGTACTGTTTAGTTGGGTGCACTGGTAGCCTAGTGCGCATGCATGCGTGTGAAGGCCGTAGTCCTCCAAGTGGGCGCCCCAGGACCTGTGGCTCATTTCCCGCATGTCATTCCCAACTCTCTCTCTCCCCGTTTTCTGACTCTATCCACTGTCCTATCTCTAAAATAAAGGCATTACAAGCCAAAAAAAGAAACCTTTCAAAAACAGAAGTAGTGTTTAGCCAGAAAAGTGAAACAAATTGATTTTGAATCTAAACAGAGGAAGCAAAACAGTGAACTATTCCAAGGCACATAAAGAGAACATACAAACGTGTGTTGGTGATGTTGAGACCTACTGATATAGAAACCGTATAAACGGTAATACAAGACCATCTAAACTGACCCGATATCAACATTTACAGACAACGTTCAGGAATTTAGTTTCAACAAGTGAAAAAAATATATTTAAGAAATACAATCAAGCAAAAATCAAGAATGTCTGACAATGTCTCGTAGATGTGACCGTTACTTTTCTGATGTATGCTGGTATTTGATTTAGAATTGTCAAAGGGATGCTTTATACATTGCTTTTACACACACTTCAAAATGTGCACCTCAACTCAGAGATCAATAATAAATAACGTCATCATTGTCTGTGATAACTAATATTATCCTGAAGCCATTTTTACTAAACAATTCATGATAATAAGTAAATAAAAAACGTTTTAATTGTTTTTTAAATGAAACGTATTTCACACCAAAACTTATTTATGTGTGCTTACAGACGATGGTGTCGCGTGTGTCAGTGTCATTAGGAAAAACTAACACAACTCTGTTGAAAATGCTTTAATCTTTGTTTGCATTTATTTTGGTTAAAATGTCAGAGAGCTGTCAAACATCACTTTCCACTCACTAAAGCTTTGCACCGCAATGCATGATGGAATATATTGATTGGTTAAAGACAATCAGTTTTACACTACTTTTCATAATGTATTGTGGGATACAATGAGTGCATTATCTCGGGTATGATCATGCTTACTCAGAATTCAGACAGTACTACAAAATGGCATATCCACTGTAGAGTGCACTATGTAGTGTGTGTGATTTGGGACTCAGCCGGGGACACATTTCACAGTCAGCACGTTTTCATGTTAAATGAAGTGGAGCTACACCCTTCACTTTGATTGCTGTCATCCCTCTCCCCTGTATCTTGCTTGACTCACTCCTGCTTGATTACTTCTTGTGTATTAAGTGTCAGGGTGCATTGGGATTGCCCCTCCTATCCCCTTTCACTATCCTCTTTCCCTTAACCCCAGAGAAAACATCATGAGGTTAAGGAAAGATGTTAGGAGAATTCAAATAGAATTCCTTTAGGGAAAGGCGGCCACGTTTTTCTGAGAATCCGACCACATTTTCACTAAATATGCGACGGCGGAGGTTAATGAGTGGGTCAGTGGGTCTGCCGTGGTAAAACTACACTTTTCCGAAAAAGGACTACTAAAACCGCAACTAAAAAAACTTTCCCATGTGCCATTTTACCAGTGAAATAATCCTAATCACCACGAGGTATAAAAAAAAAGGCATATACATAAAAGGCATATAGGCTACGAGTAACAAAAGTGAAACCATCACCTTCCTGTCCACTCATAAATCAACATCAAAATAAGTATGATTGTATGAAATGAATTGTTATGACTCGCTTTAAAAGTTGCGGCCGAAAGGAATTGTGGGACGGCATTATCTCATGTCCTTTCGTAAAGGATGGTCCAGTGTATCCTATGCTACAAGAGGTTATAAAGGAAGCATTGACCCACCTTTCCTTAGCTTTTAGAGAATTCAAATGACTCTTACCATGGATAGAGATGCTTCTTCGTCATTTCACTCAGTTTGGAACCATCCTAAGCAAAAGAGACAATTCGAACGCACCCTCTGTGTTTCTTCTGTCCTGTGTCAGTTCGTTACATCTACTCTGCCTTTGTTTTAGTATGCAAACTGCACCCTTACTCTAACCCAAGTGTACAGAGACACTGTTTGCTCTGCAGCACAGTTAGGGGAACATTTAACCCTTTGTGTGTTTTGTGAATTAGACATAGTGTCTTTGTGACTCAAGTTTAGAGGTTGCAAAAGCCACGCAGTACTTCTGTGAACCTTCATTTGCTGTTCAGAAAAAAAAAACAATAAATGAAAAGTTCAGAGAGATATTTAAAAAAATAAAGATTTACGTAACACGACCAATCCATACAACACAGCACACACTTAAAGTACAGGTGTCATGGTCCCTGACCTATGACACCTGTCATAAACACACACCCACACACACCCCCCCCCCCCCCAACACACACACACACACACACACACACACACACACAAACTGTCCCACACTCACACATTTACAGCCGAAATAATTGAACAGTTTCAAATCCACTTTAATAGAACATAAGGTTTCCACAGACGTCTGGTCAGAAAGAATCTAAATAAAAACATGAATCAGCTCTTAATTCAGTGTTTGTTTGTGTCAACAGAGAGCCACAACTGGTTTAAGGAGGACACCTGAGCTGACAGACGGTAACCACGACGACAGTAGCTCAGGTGACATTAACCCTGTCAACGACCCCACCACTGCAGAACAGCCAACAGATCCAGATACCATGGAGATCAGCTCGTCACCGCCGCTGACTGATCTGGAGAGCTGGCACAGCCAGGAAGCACAGGAACTCCATTACCCAGAGGGCCACAGGGGGCAGCAGCCAAACGGAGACGAGCAGGAGACCGAAGAGGCTGCAGAGGGAGAAGAGGGAGAAGAGGGAGAAGACGGAAAAGACGAGTGTGACTATCTCGTTTTTGATTCAGAGAAGAGGGGAGCAGAGACAAAAGAAGGGGAGGAGACAGGAAAGGAGGGAGGAGACAGGGAAGGAGGGGAAGAGACAGAGAGAGGAGGGAGCGAGGGAGGACATGAAAGAGGAGGCGATAAGGGAGAAGAGGAGAAAGAGAGAGAAGAAGAAGAAGATGAGGGAAGAGGAGAAGCAGAGGGAGGAGATGGGTTGAAATCTGAGAGTGACGTTTTAGAGGGAGAAGAAGAAGGAGAAATAAAAGAAGGAGAGATGGAGGAGAAAGATGGAGAGAAGACTAAAGAAGAGGACGGGCTGAGAGGAGAGACAGACGGAGAGACGAAGGAGCTCCTCCTCCTCTCTGACCTCCTCTTGTGTCCTGCTCCATCAGAGCACACTGAGGAGAACAGAGACGACCTGAGCGATTGTCTGCAGGCCGAACTCGCCATCGTCTACTCAGACAGTGACACAGGGGATGACCACTGGGCAGGCTCCTCCCCCTGTGATGTCAGCAACCTGGGAGAAGCGGGAGAAAGCAGGGAGGAGGACGGAGGAGGGCAGGAAGTAGAGACTGGAGCAGGGGAGCAGAGGAAGGAGGAGTCGATGAGGAGCGCAAGGGATCTGTTCCTAAGGTCTCCCTCCTGCAGCTCCACAACAAGCTCCTCCGACCCCGACAGGAGGGTAAGACCCCGCCCAGCTTTCTGTTTCATGTTCACCTCGGAGGTCTCTCAGGTGTTTCAGCTAAACTAAACATCACTGATCCTCGATGCCCAGACAAGTGACACAACAAATCATTTTACAACAAAACATTGACCTCTGCACACCTGTCCTATACCTGCGCTGAGTTGATGAATCAACTTTATTTAAACAAACAAAAAGTTCATTTAAATAAGCCCTGACAGACGTGACATAAATAGGGTAGGGTTAGCTGTCTCCTGTTTTAAGAACAGTTTAAAATATTCTACCAGACTGAAAAAGGGTTTTTTTTTTTTATTATTATTCTGAGCGTCTAGAAGAGCAGTGATTAGTCTGTTAGGGCCTAAGGCAAAAATTCCCAGGGTGCCTTCTAGAGCTGGGTATTGTCTACAACCTCCCAATTCATTTAGATTTAAATTCTTTGGGTCACGAATCGATTCAATATCGATTCGATTCGATATTGATTAATATGCTTCCATATTGATTTAATGATACATACAGATGACAGGAATACCCAGATAACGCATCCCAGTTCCTTCTGATATTTTTTAAATCATTATGTGTGCATTGTTTGTATAGGTTTAGTACAAACTGACTCAAAATGTATTTTATCGTTGAATCATTCTTTAAAAAACAAATAATAAAACATGAAAGTACAGTATGAACTTAAATGCACAATTGTGCCTGACCTGAATTCACAGCACCCACAGTGCCCCCAGTAGAGAGGGGCTTCATTACAACGAAAAAAAAATCGATCTCAGGATTTCCCTGAATCAATATTGAAGTGGGAAAACAATAATTGCAATGCATTGATGAATCGATATTTTTAACCAGACCAGTGCCTACCAACCAGCATCATCATGTTACAAATAATCTTACTTCAAAAAATAGCGCAGTATAACCTTTTTATTATTTCTGATGCTCACATTTGTTTTATTTTTAAATATAAAAAAGTTAAACGTTAAAAAAAAAACTAATTCCATTATCTGCTCCACTTACGCTCCGCTTTCTTTTTCCACTCCTAAACAGATATTTCCTCTTCCTTTCATTGACAATCTTTGGTTTTCCCTGGAATAATGCGATGTTTTCTTTGGTGATGTTATGAACACAGAGAAAATGGAGTTTGGTTTACTGATGGATCTGAAAGGATGAATCGTGACTCTTGGTCCCATCAGCTTTGATAGTTTTGCAGTTCTTTATTAGAGGTTAAAGTTTTAAGAAGGAAACAGACACACTCCTTATTGTGTGAACATGTTCAGCAAGCTTTGAGTTTGAAATACTAACGAGAACTAATCAGATTCTTCAACCAGAACTCATCATGTCATCTGAATTCATTATCTCTTATTAACGGCTGTCTGTCTTGACTGGTCACACTAACTCTCATATTTACAACACAGCTGTTCAAGCAAACAAGGAAGGAAAATAAATTCATACATCACCACTCACAAGCAAAAAGGTTATTTGTGTTAATACTGTAAATCTCCCTCTTACCTCTTATCAGTCTGTAACACCTGAGTTAATCCTGATCCTGGTCTGTGGCAGGTCCCTGTAGACTTCTGCGTCCTCCAGGAGACCCTCAGTGAGAATGTCTCCACAGAGCATGTCGACTTTCTGTTGGCCCGCCGCCAGTGGAAGAAGATGGAGGAGGAGGTCAAAGGTCAACCCACGCCCAAACCAGGACTCAGATCTCCGGGGAGTTTCCAGGGGACCCACTCCTCCCTGTACCCGCCGACCCGCAGCCCCCGCCTCAAACACAGGTAACCACCTGCTGATGAGAAGCTCTGGAATTAAGGTCATGGGCCCTGCCAACCCAAAAAAAAGAAGAAGCTGTCACTGGCGAATTCGATTCCTTAGTTGCAGCCTAAAATGTACTTCTCTACAACATAACGCGAAAACAGTCGTTCCATAATTTATTTATATCTACCTGTGAGATTGATATTTAATATGTGAGATGAACAAATTAACAACTAACTCTACATGCCATGAAAAGACAGAATATTACTTTCTGATTGGAGCACATGTTAGCCCAAAATAAAAGAGTAATTAAAAAGAAACATCTTGTACCCTTTTTTTAAGTTTCAGTTTTCAGTATGTCTTATCTAAAGCCAGGTTTCTTTCTTTCCTTTCAAAGAGAGATCCATTATCCCATGCCCAGAGAGCCCCCCCTGTCCTCCACCCTGTCCCCCAGCTCAGAGGACTCAGGTCTGGATGACTCCTCGTACCGCAGCCCCCTGGAGGAGCCAGAGACCGCCGTGGAGCGAGAGATCCGACGGACTTTGGAGAGAGAGGAAAGACACCGCAGGGAGAGGGGGATAATCGCTCACGGCCTGAATATATCCAGGTAACAGAAATAGGTCTAGGTTCCAGACTAGGTAGAGTAAAGATGACTAAAATAGTAAGGGGAAATCTGTTCTAAATCTGACTGTAAGCTGCCCTTGTGCACCAGATGTTCTCTGCTAGGGCCCCTCACTGCACACAGACACACTGGTTATGCTGACGATTTAGCCAGGACCTTAGGCAGGAATGCTGGGTTAGGTGCAGGGTCTATGCTGGACCAGGCTTGCAAAACACTGCAGCAGTCACCATGATCAACCAGTGCCTTTAGCTTACAGTATTTATATTTTTGGCAGAAGAAATTACTGGCAGGGATGCAGCTTGAAGAAGAGCCATTTAAGTCCACATTCCCATGGGACTCAGAGGGGGGATACTGTAGACACTAAATCCAGGTCCCAAGATGGGACTGAAGGTCTACTGTAGTTCTGTGCATCTTAAGCCATTGGACACTTTCAAAGCATCTATGAAGTCTGAGGGAAAGCCTTCTATAGTCAGCGCATATTCATCACTTGTAATAAGTATTCTAGCCATTATAATTTTCATTTTAGATCTCTTTAAACAGAGTTATGTACACAGTGATCTTTAAGCCTCTTCATAGGAAAGAACGAGCACATGGTGTTCACATTAAATCAAAAAGTTTTGGTTTTCATTTTAAAACATTTTTTAACCTTGTGATAAATGAAAGTCTGATGTTGCCCTTGTTTCTGATTTTTCCATTGTCCTTTTCTTCTTGTTCTGCGGTCAGACCCACAACCCTGCAGACAGGACGATCTCCACCCAGACCTCCAGCTTGTCGTACCCCTACCTTGTCCATCTCCCCCTCCCCCTCCTGCTCCTCTTCCCTCCCACGGTCCGCCTACCATGAGATGACAGCCAATAATGTCATCATCCTGGAGCCAGACTCGTCTAGTCCTGCCTCCAGGACCCGCCTACTCACCACTGCGATTGGCGGCCTCTCTGATTGGCCTATGAGCCACGATGCCGTGTCCTCTGCCAATGTCATCGTTGTGGAAACATCCAATCTCATCATTCGCAGCGCCTCTGAGTTCTGCCTAAGCTCTGCCCCCGTGCCCATTGAAAAACAGGAGAGCACGTTCACATCCAATCCGTTCTTTAAGCTGCGCTCACTGAGCAGCCAGTCGCTGGTGGAGCAGGAGATCCGCATGGTAAGGCAGAGGGAGGAGGAGTGGAGGAGGCAGAGGGAGGAGATGTGGAGGAGGAGGAGGGAGGCAGAGTGGAGCAAGGGAAGGGAGCGGTATGACACGGTGCTGGTGTCTCCAGGCCTCAACGATAACATTAGCTATAAGGGTACGTACAGTCAAGACCACAAACATACCAGAAAAGTTAGTTCAATTATAAAAGTAAACCAAATAAATCAATAAGCAGGGTGTTTTATTCACTACTGTAACTTTTCTCCTCTTCACCACAACCAAAATATTCACTTTGTGGATTTCTGTTAGAGTGTTTAATACAGATTGACTTTATTAGTTAGAGTCATTATTCAACAGTTTGCAGATGATGTTGTGTTTTACCTTCTCAATCCACTGAACAGCATACAATTCAATACTGAATAGAGTTAGTGCATGGGGAAAATTTTGTTTCTTTAAGGTTCTGTGTCAATTACCTTTTTTTTTTTTTGACACTGATGGTGTTTTTTGTTATCAGGATGCTACGCCCCAAAAAAACGCTTAACTGCATGGGTGCTGCCAGCGAAACAAAAACATGTGATTGGACATGAAAATAATTAAAATGTAAAATTTGTATTTTCTTTTTTCAGTTCCAGAGGTTCCAGACAGATGTGTCTCCTCCCCTTCTTCCCCCTCTAGGACTCGTAAAATGGAACGATCCAGTTCTTCTTGTGACCAAAAGGTGAACACACACACACACACACACACACACACACACACACACACACACACAACAAATCAACGGAAATACTCTACAATATAAAACTTGAATTATAAGTATGTATAAGTATAAGTAAGTAGTATAAGTATATGTGTTCACAAAAAGTTTACTACAGATACCACCTTTCATTTGAAAGCTGAAATAAATTTGGTCAGTGTTTGCACTACTTTGGTCTCCACCAGCTCTTCAGATAAAATGTTATTAGCTGCTAAGAGCTAAAAAATGGAATAGAAAGTATAAATATTGATAAATTGAGCTTTAACCTCATAGAGTGAACTGTCTATATATAATCTGTCTTTACAGTAACATTCATATAAAGATTGAATATCTCTCATTGATGTTGTATAATAAATGTAAACTGTAACACTGCAGCTTACTGTTTTAACTCTGTTCATGAACACACACAGCATATCGATCATATTTTATCTTAACTATCTTTGGTCATTGATTTCTTCCTTTGCTCATTCATTCATTTGTTGCTGTTAATAATTGTGAACGTTCTAATTTGTTAATCAGTTGGACTGATTAATTTTATTATTCAATAGTTCACAATTTAACAAATATTTGGAACACTTTTTTTCATCAAGTCATCACTCATGTATTCATCCATTCGAACTGTCCCATCCTCTCTCTAATTCTTTATTAACCTTTACGTCATCCATCCGCTCGTCCATCTGTTCGTCCATCCATCCAAACTATCCTATCGTCTACATTTCTTCATCCATCATCCAACAATTCTCAATTCATCCATCCATCCTTCCATTAATCCATCCATCCAAACTGTCCTACTGCATCATTTCTTCATCTATCCATCCAACCATTCTCCATCCATCCATCCATCCATCCATTCAACTGTCCAAACGTCTCTACATTTCTTCATCTATCCATCCAACCACTCTCCATCCATCCATCCATCCATCCATTCAAACTGTCCAATCGTCTCTACATTTCTTCATCTATCCATCCAACCACTCTCCATCCATCCATCCATCCATCCATTCAACTGTCCAAACGTCTCTACATTTCTTCATCTATCCATCCAACCATTCTCCATCCATCCATCCATTCAAACTGTCCAATCGTCTCTACATTTCTTCATCTATCCATCCAACCATTCTCCATCCGTCTTTCATCCATTATCCATTCATTCATCCATCCATCCATCATCAATACACACTTTCCCACCCTCTCTTCAATTATCCATCCATCCATCCATCCATCCATCCATTCAAACTGTCCAATCGTCTCTACATTTCTTCATCTATCCATCCAACCACTCTCCATCCATCTTTCATCCATTATCCATCCATCCATCATCATTTTAAACTGTCCAACCCTCTCCTCAATTATCCATCCATCCATCCAACAATCCATCCCTCCTAATATCCATCCATCATCCATTTTGACTCCAGTGGTTCAGCTGAATCTCGCCCTCCTCCTTCCCCCCTCCAGTTCCCCTCCTCCCTCTCCTCAGTGCCGCGGCGACAGAACACGATGGCACAGCGATGGGAAGCCTCCCTGTTAGCCAACCAGAAGAAGGAGTGATCATGGATGGCACTCAGCTGTCAGCCCTGTAACGCCAAAGTTACCCGTCGTGTATCGCAGTGTTGGTTCTGTGTTCAGAACGATGGGTCAGATGATCATCAGTCTGTTTTTTAGTGGATGATATGATGAGTTGATGATGTTTTAATGACAGAAACAGTCCGACTGGTTTCTGAAAACAGACTGTACAACAAAATGTCAACCTGGAGAAAGTTCTCTTCATATTTAGTAACTTGGACTCCTCCAGCCCACCAGCTGCGTCACTTATAGAGTATAGAATTGCACTGGAAATAATACAGCTGCTTCTGACATGTGGCCTATATTTTCTATTTGATCTAAACTTGTAGAAGCACATGTTAAAACCTGCTGTATCCTCCTTTAATATTTCATATTTGCTGCACCTTTATTTCTACATGTGAATGAATTATGATACCACTGTTTGTGATAGTTATGGATTTGTATGAACTGACTGAATGTGGTGATTTTCAAACCTTTACTGGGCAGACACGGAGTTAATGTGATTATTATTTATTAGGTACTAACATACGGCGGCAGACAAGGGGAAAATGGTCCAAACTCTTCACTTCCTCATACCCCTCACTTTCTCCTATCAACCATTAACAGTTACATTGAGCGCCCCCTACAGGCCTGGAGCACGTCTCTTGAGTTTTTCTAATCAGCATCGTTACTGACTTCTGCGTTGTGTTTTTTTCTGTATTTGCAGCGTGATTTCCCAAATATAAGTCATGAGTGTTTGCCTTTGACAGCCACCGTAGCAAGTGCACACGGCATCATTTTTAAATAATGTAGCTATGCATAGCAGAAACTAGAAAAGGCGAACATTTATTATATTAAGTTTAATACATGATTTATATCCTTAATGTTCCGACCCAGACTTTCAAATTCACTGCTTTAGAGGAACATAAAACTGATCCGATGAACAGAAGAGTTTGGGAGTACCAGGTTTAAGTGTTAGCCATTTTAACTATTCTACTAGCAGCAGAGGAGGTTTGTTAAGCGAGACAGAGATTTGGGGCCTGTTTCAGAAAGAAGGCTCAACAAACCTTCAGTCCAACCCTGAGCTCTGAGTTGATTTACACTCAGGTGAGAAAGACTGACTTAATGGTTCAAGAACAGCTGATATAAGTCTGTTCAATCAAAAACAATTGCAATTGATGTTAGTTTTTGGCTGGACTTGGCTCACTTTTATTTTCTTTCTGGGTACTAGAGGTCCGAACACACTTTTAAAATGAGGGTCTATGTTTCTGTGTTTCTTTGACAGCTCGTGTTTTGCAGCTGATTGTTTGAGCTTCAGCAGCGTGAGCATGCTGTGTAACTTTCAGACAGATGTTTTATTTTTAGGATTGATTTAACCTGACCAAACTCTGCCTACCTGAGACTCTGCAGTCTAACCAGACGTTTGAATCTAAAGAAAAGATTTTTACATATTTTTATGTCCTGCCTTGATTCCTACAGAGATGTACTGTATCGTATTTTTGCTGCATATATTTATGAATCCAGCGTATAAATCCTCAAAGCTTTTTATCCTTAAAAGAAGGATTATTTTAAAGTGGAAGTGAGCCATGTTTTTTTAAAGGGATGTGTTTGCTGAGTGTGCATGTTTATACTGATGTGTGTTATTATGACCCATCCTCCGCTAACTTGAGTTCACTTTCTTGAGTCCAGCTCACTCGTTGTTTTAGATGATGGACTCTACATGTTCTGCGCAGTGAACAAGAGTTCAAGTCAAATTAGAAAATGGAGGAGGATATTTTTGAAAACGGGTGAGCGAAAGACTGCAGCAGCACTTTAAAATCTCTTTATTTTGATTTTACTTTCATGAATGTGTAAATATACTCGCTCTCATCTAATCACCCTGTGAGAAACGAAGAACGAAAAAATGTCGTTATTCTGTGAAAGTAAAGCTGAAAATCAAATGCAACACTCACCAGTCTGTTTTTAAGTTCTCATGAAACCAGATTTTACAAACACTGATATGATTCTAGTCAAATCAAACAATGTCAATACCTGTTTGATACCATGGCAACAAAAATAGAAGTCCTAATGCAAGTTCATTTCTTGTATTTAATTATCAAAAATGGCAGACAAACTCCTGTCGTATTAAATAGATAAGCCAAGTATTTCACCTCTCTATTTTTAATTTGCAACAAAGTGCTGTCAGAGACATAAACATAACTTTTTAATCTTTTTTAAACACTTAAATGACTCCAGAAACGTCAGACTTTTGCTCCCTCTCTCTCTCTCTCTCTCTCTCGTCTGGCGGCAGCTTTGGGTTTGTCTGTCTGATACTGTTCGTCTTTAGATATCGCAGCAAAAAAAGGAGAAGTCCTATGTTTCAAATATTGGGAAATTGTTCATTTTAAATGTAAAAAAATTGCAGGTACATTTCTGCAAACACTGCCAATGTATTTGTGTGTTTTAGGACAGTGATATTTATTTCTCTAGCGGCATCTTTTTGGTTTAAAATGTGGCTGAAGAGGTGCAGGTTATTTTCTGAAGATTTGGTTCTTTTCAATAACATTAACCATTAAAATAACAGGGATTCTATCATTTTACTGAAGTATGAACATTATTGACAACCGTGGTCTGTGTTAAATAAAGTGAAACAATCATTTCTTACACTATTCTGAGTTTACATTCACACAAAAACCAAGCAGAAGTTAAATCCTTCTGTCTTTATAGCGTTTGGTTTCTTGTACCAAAAATGTGTTTTCATGTGATTTTCCAGATTTTTGCTGTTTGAGGAATTAAGTCTTTTTTAAAAGAGCTAACAGTGAATTATGAAATACATCAAACTAGTTTGATGAAGTAGATAAAGGTAATTTCTTCGAACACAGATAAAAAAAAAACACTCAGTCACAGCAGAAGCTCTTCTGACAGTTCAAATAAATTAAAACAACACAAAGAAGCTGAAAGCGTCGCCTCCTGTTTAACGTGCATTCACAGGACCGCTGAAATCAAACACTGATGTCTATGCTGACTCTTAACTTTTGAAGAACTTCACTTGATTCGTCTGGATCATATAATCAAACACTGAACGCTGGAGGGCATGTTTGAGCACACCTTTACAAAGAACTGTTTTGAATGTGAACAAAGTGTTTGAGTTTGTAAAAAGGAACTGTATGAGATTCTGACTTTAGTGAATGGACATTGAGAAAACAGTGAAACACGATGTCATGATGTGTGTCTGTATGATATTATACACCGCTGTACCCTCACTGCTTTATGATACACACCTGGTTTCACTCCTGTTTTCTCACTTTTATCTCACTTTATTACACCACACATGACTCTTAGTGTAAGAAGAAACTACACTTGAGATGTGTTCTCTGCGGGTGTGTTCGTGACCATATTACTCTGGATACAATAACACAACACTGCCTGAATTGTCTGTATATGGTAATCTTATTTTACTCTTTCTGCTCATTTATCCTGCTTCTGTTTGATCTTAGTTTGTTGGCCTTGAGTTTGATCATGTATTATTGCCAAATGAAAGGTGTCCTGATGAGCTCTTTAATAAAGTGTGAGACTCCTGAAACATGCTCTGTGTGTTTCCTTTCCTTTGTGGATATTTCACACTGATGTTATTTAAAGCTTTAGTTTGGTTATCAACAGGTGAATCAGAGGCAGCATGAGAGGAGTTTAGTTTTCGGTGATTCTACTGACGACAAGGTGAGTCTGTTCAGGGCAGCGTGGAGGTCCACCTGAACCTCTGTACAGATACATAGTGATCTGTTGTAATGTTACAATAGTCTGTTTTAAGGGAGACTACGGTAGAGGTGGGTCTAGTCTAGTCTGAAATGCTGACTCACATCCTTTTCTAAAGCAGGTAAAGACACAGGGCTGAATCTAATCTTGAGTGCTGAAATACTCTTCCAGCTCATCACAGCTTTAGTTTAAAGTCAGAGGATCAGTAACAGGTTTGAACGGATGAAAGTGATGTATAAGGGCAGCAGAGAGGAAGATGATGATGATGACGAATTGATGTGTGTGGTCAGTCAGGGATTACAGCAGGAGACCTCGGTCCATTCTCTTTACCTGCAAACACGCACCTACATCGCGCGCACACACACACACACACACACACACACACACACACACACACACACACACACACACACACACACACACACACACACACACACACACACACACAATGAGTTCAGTGACAGTTCAAACTAACAGAGTGAAATCTAAGATGATTTGTAGACGGTCATTTGACTGATTCACATCATGCAGGATTACACAGGTGTCACACAAACACACACAGTGTTATGATAAGGGTTAAGCAGCAGACACACACACAGAGCTGTTAATATGAATCAGTATCAAAGGTTTATTAGTGTCATTGTTACACGTCACCTCACATTATGAACACAGTCTGTATGAGCAGGACAAACTTACAATAGTATAAAAAGCTCATTCAAATAAAAACAAAGACAAAACATTTGATTAGAGTTCAGACCAGCACACAGCAAACATTTTTTTACCTTCCAATTCACACCTGCTCTGCTAATTGAAATAATACCATGCTAATTTAAACAAGAATGCTGCCTATTTGTCCGCTGACTCGTCACTCGACACTGGTCTTTAAAAGTGTGAGACAGTAATAGGAGTTTATCTGCAAGTTTTGAACATTGAAAACATTGAAGATTTCACATTTAGTTTGGTGACAAATGGTTATCAATATCATTTGATTTTTACGAGAATCATATCAAAGTTTAGTAAACTGGTATCGTGACAACCTTATGTGATGGCTGAGGTTCCTCACTCATTTTAAAGCCCTCGCTCATCACTCTTTGTTTTATGTACATGTTGGTTGGTCTTCTTTGTCCACACAGACTTAAAGCAACAATTTGTCGGAATTCGGTTGAGTGCGCCTTGGCACCTAATGACCTCCATCAGTCAGAAGAGTCCAGGAACTAATAATCTCCGGTCCCAGGAACTTTTATTACCGTCTGTTCCAAAGTTTGTTGCTTCCTTTACTTTGAACAAATCACAAAACGACCTGAAACCTAAAGATCAGGTCTCATTGGATGATTTTAAGAGGATGTTAGATGATTTGGAGGCACACACAGAGGTAGTAGATGTTCTGTCTGATATATTTATGAATGTGGGCGATCTTGACAAATATTTGCTGTTTAAATTTGTTATTTAGCGTCCTTTAATATTTTATTAATTGTATATTGCATATTATGCTGCGTATTATTTGTATGCATGGCTGCTAGTCAGAAACTCTGTCAACTGTGCAGCTGCCTGTCTTGGCCTAGATACTGTTGAAAAAGACATTTTGGATCTCAACAAGGTTTTTTCTTCCTGGTTAAATAAATTAAACACAGTCTGTTCTTTCACACTAATATCTCTATTTCCTCTAGAGTTCAAAAATGTGACATCTTTTCCATCTCTGTCTTTGGGAGAAGCATTGCTGCCTCTGTACGTAATTAAACTCATCACTATGATATATTTGACCAGATTACCAGCAGAGGGAGCCACAGGACAGCAGCAGCTCGCTGAAATGAAACCCTGTGCACAAGTGAAAAGCATTCACATAGCTCCATCTCTTAATGTTCCTGTCACTGATAAGAAAGATGCTCTTCAACATTCTGCATTTCACTGTAATTAATAAGATTCAAGCTGGACATAATTAATGTGAAAAAAAACAATAATTTGGGTAAGGGTTAATAATTACAATAATAAGTACAACAATTTAGTTCTACAAGGGTACACTGTCTGATTGTTTTCCATTGTGATTAAAAGCAATAACTATTTGTTGATGCAGCCAACATAAAGTAAGACACGCCTTTACTTTGAGTCATCATAATCCATTGAGTAAGCTGATTGATACAGCTGGTCAATGACTGGTAAGCTGATTGATACAGCTGGTCAATGACTGGTAAGCTGATTGATACAGCTGGTCAATGACTGGTAAGCTGATTGATACAGCTGGTCAATGACTGGTAAGATAACTGATACAGCTGGTCAATGACTGGTAAGCTGATTGATACAGCTGGTCAATGACTGGTAAGCTGACTGATACAGCTGGTTAATGACTAGTTGGGCGACTGATAGAGCGGGTTTGTTGTTGACAGTTAATCATTGGGTTCCATGACTGATAAAACTGGTTGGAAACTGGTTATCTGACTGACACAGAGGGTTAATGACTTGTTAGATGAGAGATACAGCATGTAAGTTGTTGGCTGGTTAGTGATGAGTTGGCTGATTGATACAGCTGGTCAGTGGCTAGTTACCCTATTGATACAGCTGGTAAGTTAGTGGACATGCACTGGTTAGTCCAGTTAACAGACAGTGCAGCAGTGTCTGTGTTTTTTCTGGATCTTTCTGATACCTGGTCCCACTGGTCTCGGCGTATGTTTCATGTTTCCATTGGTTGATCTTTCATTTTGATAATTGTTGGCCGCTGTTGGACCAGCATTGTTGTTCTCCTTTGTGTTGTTGTCTTCACCAACATCTTCGTTGTCCTCAATGAGGACCAGCTCTGCCTTCAGAGAACCCTCAAACTCATGACCCAGACCCCTGTCGTCCTGCGCCATCTGGAAGCCCATGAAGATGGCTGTGATTGGCTCGGTGGTGTTGACAGCATTGAGGATGGTGTAAGGGGCATTGTCCTCGAAGAGGGGGGAGGGCAGTCTGTCAGTGGGGGCGGGGCCACTGTACATAACAGTGGGATGGTTTCCATTGTGATCGGAGCGTAAGCAGTAAAGATCCTCTTCACCCACACTGACATAATCACTAAGAGGGATATGATTGGCTGGGGTGTAGCAGAGCTGTGGTTGATAAGCAGACACTGCTTCCTGGTCATGTGATCTGGGAGGAGGGCAGCCATTGGTTCTATCTCCATGTACCTTGCTGTTACTCCTGGTGATGCAGCTGGTGTAGCAGCAATGGGGCTGATCTCCCTGAATAGTGTGGCAGTTCCTCACCTCACAGGAACTGTATTCACGGCATTTCTGGTTGCCATAGTAATTACCAAACCCACTTCGGTTTTCATGGCGATGACCTTCCCTCGGGTTGATCTGTTTTTTTTTCTTTTCCTGTCCTCTGTAATGGTTTTCCCGATTATCTGCACTCGCTTTTCTCTGCCATCCGTAGTCTGTCTCCATTCGGCCGTTTCTGAGGTGATGGTCACCATTGTTACCTCCCTTGTTTATGATGTCACAGTCCCCCCCTCCTTCTCTCTCATTAAGATGATTATAAAAGTAAAGCTCCTTCCTCGTGCTGCGAGGTTCACAGTAGTTCTGGTGGTTTTCTTTGCGATGCATTGTGGCGCTCCTCAGCAGCTGCTCCACCTCATTGGCTGAGAGTTCGGAGGCACAGCTTCGATCATGTGAATGCTAAAAGAAGAGGGAATAAGGTCAGTTTAAGAAAAATACAAGAAAAGCTCAACAGAAACAGCAGAAGAGCTCTGAAGGCGCTCATAACTTCTTACAGTTACTGTCATTAATTATCATCTGTTTTCAGTATGATAATATGCTGATGATACTCCAATTTATTCTTATTTTTCCATCCAGATCAACGATTGGATTGACATCCTTTAGAGACATCAAACATTGAACTGGTTTCCATAGTGATGTCCCAACCGACAAAACAATCCACAAAACTTCAGTTCATTACCGATATATAAATGTATCAGAGTTTAATGTTACATTTGATAACCTGGTGCCAGAAGTAGACAATAGAAATATGCTACACTGGCAGCATAAAGGACAAAATAGCAAACCATTTATGTGATTTAAATGCCTAAATTAAATCACTTAACAGTATCCTGGTGATTGTGTGGATACTGACAGTCTTGAATACAACCATAACAATTTTAATAAACTTGTTCAGTTATGGTTCGGTCAACATCTCTGTTCTCTGACTGGATGAAATTATTTGTGTCTACATCATTTCTAGAACAGATCATTTCAGCGTCTTTACGTTGGCTTTAAGTATGTTTTCATTCAGTAAAAGCTTGTTTTATTGGCATAAGAATTTATGAGCTTTAGAGTCCAGAAGTACCTGCACTCAACCCCAAATCCTGGAACTACAATATGATTGAAGCAACCTGAGCAATTGTAGACAACCTAGAGATCGTTTCAGTGCTTTCAGGGCGACAAACTTTACAACAGTGTTTCTGTTCAAATTCTACTTACAACCTCAGTGTAAGTTCTTATCTACTTCACTAAACCAACATTTCATTTTAGATTAAACATTGTTATTGTTATTCATGACGATCACACCTCTTGTGAATTGAATGCGTAGACACACTTCCTGCCGTCGTCGTAAACCTTGAGTCCGGTGTGTTGGTGTAACTCGTCAGCAGGAATCGTTGCAGTGGACAGAACTTTACTCTCTCCTGTCAGCAGGTTTTTAGTCACGTTGATCTCCATGGCAAACAGAGCTGAGACACACAAACGCAACACACACAGTCATGTTAGAGTCACTGTACGTTGCCAATAAGGTTATCAACTGTCATGATTTTGTCTGTTTAGTTTAGTTTGCATGTATTTATCTTGTTTTAGTTATCATTCTTCCCTAGTGTTTCCCTTATGTGTTTTCAAGGCTAGGTTTCTTGTGTCATTTTAATAATAATAATAATGTATACTTTATTGATCCCACGAGGGGAAATTCGTTTTTACACTCTGTCTAGTTAACATGCTACACAAACATAGGCCGATACACACAAATGCACAAACAGGATCCTATGGACATGCACTAATGGAGAGGTTTCAGAGTGAGGGGACTGCCGCAGTGGGCGCTCCTGAGCTGGTGGGGGGGTTAGGTGCCTTGCTCAAGGGCACCTCGGCAGTGCTCAGGAAGTGGACTGGCACCTCTCCAGCTACCAGGCCAATTTCCGGACTTGGTCCGTGCCGGGACTTGAGCCAGTGACTCTCTGATTCCCAACCCAAGTCCTTACAGACTGAGCTACTTTTGTATCTTTGTATCCTAGTGTTTCTTTATGTTCTAGTGTGTATTGTAAGTTATTTATTTCATTAGTGTTCCCTGATTTATGTGGTAGTTGTCCTCAGTGTTTCTTGTCCTGCCTCTGTGTGTTTCCCTCCAGTGTGATTCAGTTCATTGTCATTTGTCGGTGTAGCTATGTCAGTCCATGTCAGATTTAACCTCTACTCGTGTTCCTTGTTTTCCTTTTTGATAAGTAAGCATTGTTTTTGACTTTTGATATTTTTGTTTAGATACATTTCTTTTGGTTCTGCAATTGGGTCCTCTTCCTATGTGTTTTCCCTAAAGCGTGATTATCAACCTTTTCAATGCTTTCATACCACAATTTCCCAGTTTGGGATCAATAAAGTAATTCTATTATATTCTATTATATACTTCCAATGCCAGGTGTTCTAAAATGATACAATCTCTATTATTAAATTATTGATAGTAATGAAACATATCAAAGTCAAAAAAATAAATATATTTTTATATTTTCACCCAAAAGCTGCCACAAGAGAATGAGAGAAAGCACGCACTGTTGAAATTGCACAAAAACATTGGCAACGTTTGGACAGGAGGGAGGAGATGGAGAGCATTCCTTACATTCTTTACGTTGCAGAAAAGTTGCAATTTAGACCGTATGCAAAGGATGCCATTGGTATTTTTGTTGCCATGGTATTAAAATTGATGTCAAATCGTACAAGAGTCATATCTCGTAAATCTTGTAAAAGCTGTCACATGTCTTTCCCTGATTGGTCAAACACCTTTCACCTTAACCTGTTTTAGATAAAAAATAAAGAAAATTCAGCCTTGACTTTCAGTGGTTAACTCAACATGAGTAACTACTGACAGATTCTACCGTCCTCGTTGTCTTTGCCAGCTGCTGTTCAGTTACATTCTGTGTTTTTTAATGCTACCACTGCTCACATGTTCAGGGAGGAAGATATCATTGAAGTTATTTATGTGTCCAGTGGTGCGACAGCCATACATGGACCAGAGTTATGGTATTTAAACGCCATCATGCCATGAAAATATATCAAATCTAGGTAAAAACGAATGCATCGATGACTCAAGTATTAGAAATGTGCCACATATTCAAGACCAACTCACGATGAATCTCTTAAACCATAAATAGAAAAAATGTCTGGTTATCACGGCTCTTGCGGGCCCTGCTCACACTTCAGGAAGCACTGCTGCAGAGGAACAGAGTCTATCAAAGATTTTACAGAAGGAGAAAAAATGATCTCACTCTGTCTTGATGTGATTGGTTCATGGTGTTGGCTGGCTGGAGGAGAGGGGCATTCTGGGACCTCTGGGACCACTGTGGTGACCTGAGGGGGCGCTGTGGGACAAAGAAACACCTGTAAACAAGTATCACACCTTTAAATGTGTTCATGCAGAAATATAGATTTACTGAGCTCCCTCGTCTCGTGTGAGTCCCTCTGGATCACCTGCTGCTGTTCAAATAATATTTCATCTTCATTGTAGTGTTAAAGTTAAAATCAGAATCATCAGTCTGTTTCCATATTTTGTTGTTACTGCTACTACACACACCTTTACCATTACTACTGTAACCATATATCAGTTTAACTCCTTGTTGTTGTTTCTGTTTGTCTCTCTCTTTCTCTCTTCCTGTAACACAGTCTCAGCAGATGACTGCTCATGATGAGTCTGGTTCGGCTCGGCAGCTTTTTCCTGCAACTATCGCTTTGCTTAATGTTTCCCAGGTCTGTGCTGATGGTGGATTAATGTTTGGTCTTTGTAAATAATAGCTTATATTAAAGAGTACGTTCTAGACCAGCTGTTTTTGTAAAGTGTCTGCAGATAACATTTGTTATGAATTGGAGCTGTACAAATAAAGATTGATAGATTCTTACCAAGAACAAAGCTGTCCTGAGCCTCCTGAAAGACACACAGAAATAAGTTAAAGCAATGTATAATATTTGTATAGGTGTGTGTGTATGTGTGTGTGTGTGTGTGTGTGTGTTTGTGTGTGTGTGTGTGTGTGTGTGTGTGTGTGTGTGTGTGTGTGTGTGTGTGCGTGTATACCTTAATGATGTCCTCTGAACTCCTCTCCACTGCCTTCAGTCGGTTGAGGATTAAGCTCTCATTGGTGGAGATGATAGACTCCTCCCTCTCCAGAGAGAGAACGTCCATCTCTATCCTGATTGGTCAGAGAAACACTCATGGTCAATAATGTGTCACACTGCTGTTTTTTCTGTGTGTCTGCCACTGTGTGTGTTTCTGAGGTGTGTATGCACTCCAGTAATAGAAAAATGATACCAATGCAGAAGTGCAACATGCTGCAGTACCTCTGGTGTCCACTTGAGGGTGGCTCCAGAATTCCCATTCGCCTATTAAAATGTTGATTTTGACAGCAGAAATGAACATGTTTACAGCCTGGTTTAAATAATTATTTTGGTCTGATTGGTAAATATCTTTACCGGCACAATCTGTGCAAGGGGTTACATTTTTTTGATGGTTATGCGTAATTAGGTGCATGACTGATCTGACAGCAAGTGGCCGTGTTGTAGCTGTGTGTCAGGAGGCGTAAGACCCGCCTCAGCTGCACCTCTTTGTCTGTTTCTATGTCGACCGAAAGCTAGAAAGGGTCAGCATTTCCAAAATGACCACCGCCATGGATGGGCTCTTCAGAAAACAATGGGTGACGTCCATGTTTATTAGGCATATAATGGTGTGTATCTGTGTGTGTTTCTGAAATGTGTGTGTGTGTACCTGTGTATGTTGAGCTGCAGAGTTTTGGTCTCCTGTTGGTCACGCGTGGCGCTCTCTTGTTGATGATGTTGTCGTTGTGGGGAGTGTATTGCATTGTGGGTAACTGCTCCCTGCAGCAGCCACTGCTCCCTCAGAGACTTTTTCTGATGATTTGAAAGAACAGAATATAAGTTTTAAAAATGTGCTTATTTACTAAAACGTATACACTCTAAGATATAACACATTTAGGAATCACTCCAGTAGATTTCTTTAGTGGACAAAAATTATCTTACTATAAAACAAAAAGAGTTATCTATTAAACTCCTGCTCGAATGTTGCTTTTATTGTCGGACATGCGTGACTGTAGTGTACATTAACAGATATTCTGTTATTTATTGGAGTTCAGCACAATCGGCAGCAAGCAGCTGTACATAACGGAGCCAGGAGAAGCTTCAGTTTTGATGCATGTACGGACAGTTGCTCACCCTCTCTCTCTCTCTCTCTCTCTCTCTCTCTCTCTCTCTCTCTCTCTCTCTCTCGCTCTCTCTCTCTTGCTCTGAAGCTGATGTGATTCTGCTCTATTTTGCTGTCTTAACACTCTGTAGGAGTCGAGAGGGATTTTTTTTTAAAAAGGCAGTTTTGCTATGTTGAACGCAGAGACTTATAATAAAGCGGCTCTGGTTGCACGGAGCCTGCGGAGCGCGTGCCTGCACTCTCTCCTGCGCTCTCTCTCTCTCTCTCTCTCTCTCTCCCCCGCTAGTTCTCGCTCTCTCTCTCGCGCATGCAGCAATTTTATGAATAAATGAAAAAACTAAATAAGAACAGGTCGGAAATATACTTGGGCCCAGGTATCCTCTTTGTGTGGGAAACACTGGAGATTTCATATTCTCAAACTGGTTGTTGGTATAAAGTTGTAATTTGTATTGTGCTGCACTTTTTTTTTGATTTGGGCAAATGTCAGTGTTGTGTTAGTTTAAGTACCAGTTCTAGCACTAGCCCTTAGTAGTCCTATAGTGTGACTGCCAACAGTTAATAATAAATAACCTCCTGCGTAAAATGTGTGTAGAAATAGGCCTACAGTGTATTTTAACGTCTACCATAATGGTGATACTTGGAGAGCCAAATATTTTTGGAGGTGGTACGCAGTCTAAAAAGTTTGAGAACCACTGAAATAGCTAATTCAGAGTAAATACAGAGACTACAGGGCTGCCGCTCAAGTGGCAATTGTGAAGTTTCATTACTTTACTTTCACTACCTTTAAAAAAGCCACCAAATCTTGGTTAGTTCAGCAACAAACTTGCACTCATGTCTAACTTTCTTCTTTTTATTTTGTCACTATGTCACAGCTTAATGTATGTCTTATTGTATCTTGCTGCACCAAGTTTACTCTGTCTCTCTCTTTCCTTTTTAACTTATCTGTTTTAATCTTTTATTCACACAAAATCCTTTCTAGGAACGGGTGTTGCAAATTAGCATCCATTATAAGCACTATGACAACCTGCATTGGATGGTGGTTTTCAGATTGTCTATCTGTCCCTATCAAGTAACGCAAATACATTAATAAAATCTACCTTAAACATACCTGTAATTAGACTAACATCATTTTAACAGAACTATGTTTTAATGGTGAGCAGAGAGTTTGTAGAGGTTCACTTCATGAACAGTTCTATTTGATATTTATAGATGATGAGTGACAGCAGTGCACCTTCAGATGCTTCAGATTGAGTTTCTCTCGGTCCAGCTCCTCTTTCTTCTGTCTGATGTCCTCCTGAATACGATGCTTCTCCTGTTTTTAATTAAACACACATTAAAGTAAATTATGTTTAAGGTTTAATGAATGTTGTGCAGTAAATGATGTATAATATGAACATGAATGTTTGTCTTGTGTAGATCTTACAGTGATGGCCTGCAGCCTCTCTCTCAGCAGGTCTGACTCCTCCATCCTGCTGCAGGTTACAAACACCGGTGATGATGAGGTGGAGGAGAAAAAATAAAAGATAGATTTTCAGTATTTTACATACAAAACAGTAAGGTTGTCAAACTGCTCTATACATTGATGCATTTCCATACCACGTGTTAAAAAATTCTAATAATCAATAAAATCAGGTTTCTGCCTGTTCAACGTGAGTCTGGTTCTGTTTGAGGTTTCTGCCTGTTCAACGTAAGTCTAGTTCTGCTAGAGGTTTCTGCCTGTTCAACGTGAGTCTGGTTCTGTTTGAGGTTTCTGCCTGTTCAACGTGAGTCTGGTTCTGTTCGAGGTTTCTGCCTGTTCAACTTGAGTCTGGTTCTGTTCGAGGTTTCTGCCTGCTCCACATGAGTCTGGTTCTGTTTGAGGTTTCTGCCTGTTCAACGTGAGTCTGGTTCTGTTCGAGGTTTCTGCCTGTTCAACGTGAGTCTGGTTCTGTTCGAGGTTTCTGCCTGTTCAACTTGAGTCTGGTTCTGTTCGAGGTTTCTGCCTGTTCAACGTGAGTCTGGTTCTGTTCGAGGTTTCTGCCTGTTCAACTTGAGTCTGGTTCTGTTCGAGGTTTCTGCCTGTTCAACTTGAGTCTGGTTCTGTTCGAGGTTTCTGCCTGCTCCACATGAGTCTGGTTCTGTTCGAGGTTTCTGCCTGCTCCACATGAGTCTGGTTCTGCTCGAGGTTTCTGCCTGTTCATCATGAGTCTGGTTCTGCTAGAGGTTTCTGCCTGTTCAACGTGAGTCTGGTTCTGTTCGAGGTTTCTGCCTGTTCAACGTGAGTCTGGTTCTGTTCGAGGTTTCTGCCTGTTCAACTTGAGTCTGGTTCTGTTCGAGGTTTCTGCCTGTTCAACGTGAGTCTGGTTCTGTTCGAGGTTTCTGCCTGTTCAACTTGAGTCTGGTTCTGTTCGAGGTTTCTGCCTGCTCCACATGAGTCTGGTTCTGTTCGAGGTTTCTGCCTGCTCCACATGAGTCTGGTTCTGCTGGAGGTTTCTGCCTGTTCATCATGAGTCTGGTTCTGCTGGAGGTTTCTGCCTGTTCAACATGAGTCTGGTTCTGTTCGAGGTTTCTGCCTGCTCAACATGAGTCTGGTTCTGCTCGAGGTTTCTGCCTGTTCATCATGAGTCTGGTTCTGCTTGAGGTTTCTGCCTGTTCAACATGAGTCTGGTTCTGCTTGAGGTTTCGGTTTGCTCAACATGAGTCTGGTTCTGCTCAAGGTTTCGGTTTGTTCAACATGAGTCTGGTTCTGCTCAAGGTTTCTGCCTGTTAAGGGCAGTTTTCCTTGCCTTCCCACTGTTACTCTTTAATACAACTCAGTGTATGGTCTGACATTCTCTTTCTGTAAAGTGTCTTCAGATACAGTATGGTATGAATTGGAGCTTTACAGTATATTTGTGTGTTTCTACATCGCAGACCACATCACATCACTGTGTGTGTGTGTGTGTGTGTGTGTGTGTGTGTGTGTGTGTGTCTGTGTGTGTGTGTATCAGCTCTGTATCATGTTTTGTTTGACATAAATTATTTTACTGACACATCTACAACTCCTAAACCCTGTGGTATATTTAAATGTGGGGTCCAGTCTGATATTTATACCCACAGGGTCAGAGAGTTTGAGCTCCACCTGTCCACGTGGGAACCATGTTAGCGTCTCACTGTGAAATTTAAAGTTGTTTTTGTTGTTTTCTCAGCTGGCTGTAGTCTATATTTAACACAACAAACAGTTTAAATATAGGGAGGTAAAGGGGATGACTTTTCTGTCTCTGCTGAGTCCTCTGAGGAAAATCCTGGAAGTCCCTGGGAAGTTTCCTGTCGTCATGGAGATGTAATAAATACTCCTTATATGCAGTGTTATGTAGTCTTGATTAATCAGCACCTCATATAATAAACATGTGGAAACTGTATTGTGAAAAACAATATCATATAATCATGTACACTGACCGAAATAAATCAGTGTCTGATAACAGCCCAGTATCGGCGGATAAATCGGTATCAGATTTTTTTCTCTCTCCCCAATATCGATATCGGCCCCAAAAATCCATACAGTGCCCTAAAATAAAGAGGAATACACATCTATGCTCTGAATGATAGCGATATTATACATATAGATATCTCAGACTGCTTCAAGTCTGTAGCCTGCAGTCAGCCTTTGTGTATGTGGGGGGGCAGTGTTTTATATAGATAAGGGTCAGGGGGTTTATACCCTGGGGCCAGACATATTCACATTTAAAATGAGGTCAGAGGAGGGAGGTGGTATTCTTAGACTGAAACATTTACTGCTTCAGTTTCCTCCACAGCACAACTGAATCACTCTGCACATGGATCATGGGCTGAGCTGCATGCGTGAACACAAACGGCTGGCAGGTTTACCCCTGACTTTACCCAAACTCTTTCCTGGCATGCCTCCATGTGAGTGAGCTGATGTGAGAACGCAGCAGGAAACATGAAGGACCAGCAGCACTCTGTGCCCTCAGTATGTACTTTCAGACAGGATGCTAACATGTTAGTGACCCACAGCCTCGGGTCAGCCCGGAGAAAAGACTGTCAGATTAATCCTGCTCCGAGTCTTCCGAACAAACCGGCCCATCCACTCTGAAGACCAGGAAACATGTTATTCTGCTCTAACTCCCTCATAAGGCCACACACAGAGACACAAAGACACACACACAGACACACACACGCACACATACACACATACAATAAGGAGCAGCCACTCTGAGTTAATCTTTACTAATGAGGATGTTAATCTGTGTAAACCATCTGTTTGAGCGACCACGTGTGTTCGGATCACCTCGATGACTTTAACACCTGAACATTACATCACACAATTGTTTTACATTTTACTCCACAACAACTTGTTCTCATAGAAGAGGCATAAAACTACAATCAAGCATTCAACATTTTAACAGATCAGAGTAGTTTTTTTTTCCATCATATTAGGAGGGTGATGAGCACCTCATATTCTTAAAATGAAAGAAACTACAGATGAGGAAAGAAGAGATTTCCAACCAGACAGACAGAAAGTATTGAATGTATGCAAATAAAACAATATGAATGTTTGTCTAATCTATGGAAGCCTCTTGAGGACATGCCTACATTATTTTTATTCAACCTTGTTTCTAATGATAACATTACAAGTATCGCAACCCATGTTGGTTGTGTACTCGGGATCTCCTCTAGTTTATCCCTTTGTCTCGGGTTAACAAACCTGGTTTCAGCTGATGACGAGTGAATTTCTCTAGATCTTGTAAAAGTTCACCTCTTATCAAAGGACAACCAGCATTATTATTCAGGGATGATGTGATAAAGAAGAGGAGATCTAGAGAAAACAACCGAAATGGAAATGTTATCATAGATAAACAGAGTAAAAATAAAATATTAGGGCTTCCAGCGTAATCTCACTTGGCACATGTGTGAATGTAAAAATGTTTTCTCTGTTTGTGTTTTTATCTTTAAAATGGTAAATGTTTATTTTTATACACACATCTGTCTGATGTCACAGAGAGTACCTGTATAAATAAAGGCTAACATAAAAAATATATATATCTCAATGCTACAAACCAGAGTCAAGACAATGACAGATATAAGCTGGGTTGACCATTGAATATTATGAGTTTTTGTTAATTGTTGAATAATGTACTAATTATTGTGAGTGAATTTAGACTTCTCCTGCAGAGGTGAAATATATCATAATGTAAAGTACAAACTGATAAATTACCTGTAGAATAAACGGATAATTTCATAAATATATGTTTGCACCACAGCAGCCAACCCTGAATATTATCACACCTCCATTACACACAAACCATTCAAAGATTTAAATAAAGGTCAGCAACATCTCCCTCCTTCACTACTTTTAGATACAACACATTTTAAAGGTACACAATCTCTGTTATTTTAACGATCAGCACTATTAAAAAGCACTGAAGCTTTAAGGAAACATAATCTATTTAATAAGAGAGGTGTGTAGGAGAGGAATGAGTCCATCAAACATGACAGGCAAACTCCTGCACGCTGTCTGAATGCATAAATACAATGGCGACGTATTTGTGCAATTTAGACAGTGAGCAGAAGTCTGCCTGCAATTTTTAACTTAAAAACAAAAATGTATTAATATTGGGTCAGTAGGACTTCTCTTCTTGTTGCAGTTGTATTAAACTAAAACTTAAACTAAAATCATATTAAAGTTTTAAATTAAGTTTAAATAACTATGACTTTGATTTACACTCTTAAAAACACTAATACAGTTCAATTTAAACAACAAAATGAATTGCATTTTAAAATATATTCATCTTTTAGTCATTTATTTTCAGAGTCTGTAGAGAGTTAAGCATCATGGTTATTTTTTTTTCCTTAACTCAGGAAGTTAGAAAACTAATCCAAACTAAAACTAGAGATGTTTTTAAGGACCCCTTCCTCCTCCAGGGTCCTGGGCAGTCAGCCCCATGTTTGTCCCCTCTAATACAGCCCTGCAGTTTGTCTTAACAGTGAACAGTGTGTGACAGCCTGCAGGAGGAGAAACTGAGGCTTAAACAGAATTAAGGATTAACTTCACCTCTCTGTTCGGACAGGCTGAATGCTCCAACCCTTCACCTTTCCATACACTGAGTAAATCTACAACACACTCTATACACAACAAACTCTGTAAATAGACAACACACTATAAATGTGACACATCTATCCTCTTTGACAGCTGATATATCTGTCTACACGTACAGCTGAACTTCTGTGCAGGAACTCTCACACACTGTGTAACACTCGGATCTGTGTGAGAGCAGCTCATTGGTTGAAACCTGACATTGAAAACTTAATGATACATTAATTGTAATATTATCATTTTAACATGTTTTAAATCAAACACACTCATTAACACTCTGAAAGTAAAAGGTTTAAGTGAGCCTACCTTTCCGCTGTCCTCTCCTCCGCGTGCCAAGTTTGGCTCTCTCTCTTTCTGTTTCCAGGGAGGCTCGAGGCCTCCCGGCTCCAGGTGGAGGTGGGCGGGGCTTGTGTGTGTGTGTGTGTGTGTGTGTGTGTGTGTGTGTGTGTGTCTGTGTGTGTGATTGACGTATGGTTGTCCTCTTGTCAGCCAATAGCAGAGCGGTAGGTGTGGCTCTTTAAAATTAAATCCCCAGTTTTCAATGACACACACGCGCGCGCGCACACACACACACACACACACACACACACACACACACACACACACACACACACACAGAGAGAGCCCTGTATGGCTCTCTTTAAATTTGGATTAGTTAGATAATCTTATAAAATATGTTTTTAATTGAATAGGACATAAGTTTAATTTAAGTCTATATAAGTTTTATTTGAATTATATTTGATACATGGTAAATTATGTTGCTTACAATGTTTGATCAATTAATTTGAATGCCTACATTCATGATGCTGAATGGCTCATTACAGTGTAAATACATTGTGAAAACTGTGAAGAGGATATCAGATATATTTTAATACGTAACGAGCTCCTGCCTGTCTGCAGTGATCAGCTGCAGTTCAGTCAGTGAGCAGCAGAGGCAGAATTTGACCATTTTAAATCAACTGAATGAGCATCATAGACTGTAAATATTACGATGAGCATGCAGTGTTGTTTATGTGACTTAGTGAATCATAGTCATGTAGACAAGACAGACATGTTTAAGTTCTCACTGGTGTAGTTAATAACTGTCATTATTCAGACTGTCATGGCTGCATGACTGAATAAAGAAAATCCCAAAACAGAAAACTGTAAAAAATGTAAATAATCTTTAATTTTTCAAACAGGTTCAGGAGGAGTTCTGATTGGCTCTAAGAGATACTCTATCTCCCCAATTCCACCTGTATCCACTGACGCAAATTAAGCCTCAAAAAATAATAGGGGCTCTAGATAAAACAGGGGGGCTGAAAGACAAAAAGGTTGGGAACCACTGACTTAAACCATCATGTTCACTGTAAAATAATCTAAATTTCTATCATGATTTAAACAGGATTAAGATAATCAGGATTACCTGAGTGTAGGTTGTACTTCAATGCGACAAACAGTATATTCACGTCTGCACACATCAGTAAACATGAAGTATAAAATCTATAAAAACAGGTAACAAGGTGCTGAACAGTACTAACAGTTTGAACCTAGAAGTCACAGAAACATTAACATAATAATTACACAGCACAAATAACACTGCGGCTCATTTAACATATACACATCAGCAGGAACTACAAACATCAAAGGACCTGTCTCACAAGGTTTCATTAGAGCTGTGATCCATTCTGTCTAATTTTTAAACTCAACATTTTGCATTCACACTTAAACTCTGTGTATGAAAAACATATCATGAAGGACAAACAGTATAAGTGTGTAATAAATAAATAATCTCTGTACAGGCCTGTGAGTCTGAAATCATTCTTTAAAAAAAACAACCACGATGGAGGTTACATGAAACACCTGAGAGCTCAGCTATCTTTGGATAGCAGGGTTTTTTTTACTATTATAAAACGTGTTTTACAAAATTTGCAAACTAAAAAGATTAATAAACAACGACACAGGTTTATAACCAAACTCAAACAAACAAACAGAACAAGTAAGTCTGAAGAAGATGTTTAAACATGTGAGTTCAGTTAAAGAGAACTGAAGTCATGTACACACACACACACACACACACACACACACACACACACAGACAAACAGATATAACCAAAAGCATCCTAAAATTATCTAGAACTCGTAGATTGCTACTCAAGAGCTATGACAGGACTTTATTTTATGTTTGCTTAAATTACATAACGGACATGCTTTGAAGATGTTTGTCACCCTGTATTTACAAAGATCTACATGTATCATCATTTATACATCAATAACATAAACTGTACACCTTTATCTTATCTCTTTTATATACATATCTACCTTTATGTCATCAAACTCTGTGTAAAGCAACAACAACTGTTTTTAACCACCGGGCCGAGTTTCAGTAAAATCTGGAAGTAAATCACTGAAGTTTCAAAAGAATGATAAATTTAGCGATAAGTGATCTCTGCTCTGAGATGCTGTGGGCGAGTCCTCGGATAGCATTGAAACCACGCCTACTCACAGAAAACACACGCCTATCCAAGCTGTCAAACTGCTTCAACCTGACGATGGAGGCTTCATCTGGCTGTTCTATTGGCCCCGTGAAGCTTTACATGTTTGAGCCATCAGAATCAGATTCTGAACTTGAGGAAAATGAACTCTGACCTCTGACCTCCTCATCCTGAGCACACTGAGAGTTTGTCTACTTCCTCTCAGTCTACTACATATTGGCCATTTTTTCCCCACTTGTGCAAGTTAGCTTAGCATAGCCTATTACCATATACATGGGGAAAACATGCAAACTCCACACAGAGAGGCCCTGTCTGACGCGGATTCGAACCAGGAACCTTCTAACCACTGCACCACCATGCAGCCCTACGATACAAAATGTAACAATTTATTCTGAATCACAGCACGCATCACAAATGCAATTCTCCACATAGGGAATCACAGTCATTTTTATGTAAGCATTTTGTATTTTGTGTGACAACAAAAACGCCTTAAAATTCAATTCACATTTCAATGAGTTTTTTTTTTTTAAATCTTGTAATGTCCCACTTGGATTGAGGTTAGCCATGAATGTGAGTCGATGTGACATCATAAACAAACATTCATGCCACGTAGAGGCCTCTAAGACGCCCAGAAGCTTCATCTACATTTATGTATCTATGGCCTATTACTGAATAGTATGACGGCATGGCTAGTGAGCAGAACTGCAGACTGTAAAGATGAAACATTAAGAAACTCATGATGGAGCAGATAAACCAAAGCTATTTGGCCCTGCCCCAACTTTAAAGTGATGAAAAGCTAAATCCATAATTCAGTGCTAGTATGTTTGAAGACTAATTTCTGATTTTGCTTTACACAGACTTTTATATACACCAATGAGACCACAGTCTAGAGAAAGGTCTACAGCAGGTTGTGTCTGGAACCAGCACCATGGTTAAACCCATCCCACAGCTGTGATAAACTGCACCTGTCAGTCTATACTGAGGGAGAACAGAGCCCACTCTCTGCTGTTGAAAAGCAGCCGTTAAGGTTAAAGGTTAGTCTGTAAATGTGAACATCCATGTGTGAAGGTGTCCTCTGTGTCCCCTTGTTCAGGGGAGTCACAGTCATGTTATTTCAGTGAAGGATCCTGGACTCTGCAGGATCAGAAAAGGAGAAAAATACATTAAAAGTGAATGATTTCAATGTATTTCAAGTAATAGTCATAGACTTTTTTTTTTTTACAGATAATTTGTTTTTCATACAGAGGTGGAAATGTTTTCCTGATCACTGGAGAGTGTGAAATCTCTTTAAAATACTGCGGCGCAGTTACCGCCAACTCTCAGCAGACGGTCATTTTTTCACTCCACAAAGCGTGGCTTTTATTGCAGCGATTGTGAATTAGACACTTTTTGCAATAAGGCTGATTTGCATAGAAAAGGGACAGTTTTTTCCCAAATGCTGGGACGCAAACAGACGCTGTTTGTGTTGCGACCTAGAAATATTTGTACTAAATTTAATTGGACAGAAGAAAGCACACTACCTATTAGTTAGAAAATATATACTGTTATTTCCATATATGTTTAATTTGTTAATACAAAAAAAACATCCTTTAATTTCATGTTAGTTTACACAGAAATTAAAAAGTTGTTATTAACTCTTTTAACTTTACGTTTGACATATTACGTCATCGGCCTGTTCTTGTTTTGAAGACACGATGCTTCTTGAGAAAAAACATTTGCTCTCCAGCGCAGTTAACCCCTTGCATGTGTTTCGTGGATTAAGGATGTCCTTTTGTCTCATTTGTACAGTTTAGAGGGCGCTAAAGCTGCCGATCCTTTTGCTCATCGGGTCCTCAGTGTGTAAAAGTAAGGCTTACCTGTGCAACAACGTATTTGTCAGTGGTCGTCATGTTGTGGTTGATTTGCGGTGCGGTCTCGTCAGTGTTGGCTGTTCCTGCATCAGACAAACTGTGTGACATCGCACGTCTTTTTTTGAAATACTGAACCACAAACACCACCTGTCAGGAGGGAAAAACAGTTATCATCAGATCCAGACACACACAGACATATACAAACATTCAGACATGTACAGAATCATGAGTATAATGCGTGATGAAAACTGAATATAGATGTAGTCAAACATTCAAAGAAAAAGCCTGACATAAAGAAGTGCATGATGGGATGTTAGGCTGCAGGGAGTGTATCCTCAGTATTTTGGTTTGGGTCATGTGTGTGACGCAGCTCTTTGTCCTCTTCAGGACTGTCGTGCATGACTTGTTTAACACAAGAGGAATCAGAGTTCAGTCGAGTGTGTGTGTGTGTCCTGCAGCGAGTTTGTCCATTAGAGCAGGTTTATGTTAAAGATAAAGGATGGAGAGCACAGATCATGTACAGAGTGATGGTGACTCTCTGCTTATTCTGAAAAAACAACTTAAAACTAAAGACAGTCATTTGAAATATTTAACTGTATTTAAAGTCCAAATAGTGATACAACGTAATGAACAGGAGAATCACCATCACCAGAGTCCTAGTCAGCCAATTTAGCGCGAGCAAAGGGATGACCCCGATTCAAATTGACAGCAGTCAACACTTTATCTCTATTTGCAGACAATGTCATGATATTTGTTGTTGTTTCCGAAAAACATCTCTCCCTTTGTCCTTCAATAACATAAGGAAAAAATAAATCAGGTCCTAGGCAGCCAATAAGCATCTCGGAGGTTTCAAGCTTTTTTATGAGTTAAATTCTTTAAAATTCTGACTTGAAGTGCAGAAGAAAATCACTGCATTTTTTTGCGCTCACAGGAGCAGGTTGTAATGAACTGAAGCCAAGACGTGATAAAAATGTTGCTTGATCATGAAGCCTGATGTTCCTCTAAAGTTCTGTGGATTATCAGTGAACTATAAGAGAAGATGAATCATGATTAATCACAGCCATCTTCAGGGATTTATCATGCAAAATCTTTTCACTAAATGGACAGTACTCAATTCAAGCAAAGGTTTCCTATGGACACGTTCATCTGAGAATCTAAAATTCTGAATTAGATCTGTAAATATATTTTTACGAGACTTAAACTTTCTTTGTAAAAAAAAACAAATATATAACGTAAACATGAAAGCAGCAAACAAGTGACCTGTGAGATCACAGATTGAACATCTGTCAGTGAGGACGAAGGAGGGAAGTTTAAAACATCACAAAACGTCTCTTAATTACACCTGAATAGATTCACAACCATCATTTGTTTTATCGGTGGCTGGGAAGTGCAAACCAAAATTACAAAGTGTGAAACACTTTTACAAAGCTAGAGAAAAATTTACCTTTTGGAAAACATTTTACCAAGGACAAAACAAAATTTACATTGAAGAAAACAAATTTTCAAGATGCAAAAAACTTTTACGAGCACGGAGACAAATTAAAAAGTGGCAGAATCTCACCAGTAAGGGAATGTACCAAATGCTGAAAGTGACCCGGAAGTGCTTTAGTGAGCGGTCAATTACTTATTTTGGAGGGAAGACTGTGTGGTTAACTATCGCAGGTGGGTTCCACAAAACAGACAAAAAAAACCCAAAACATTATAATTGACAGCTCACTCACTCAATCACTTCAGGGTCAATCACAGCATTTGGTACATAACCTCTCTGGTGACATTCTGTCGTTCTTAAATTTGTCTGAGAGCAAAGTGTTTTTCATCTTATAAATCTGTTTTGCCTTTGGTGAAAGTGTTTGGCTTTTGTCATTTTCTTTTCCAAAATGTGAATTTGTCTCCAGCTGTGTTAAAGTGTTTTACACTTCCCAGCCACCGTAGTTTTATGATAATATTGATCTTACAATGAAAGAGTTTCTTAAAATGGTCACTAATGTATGTGTGTCTACAGCTCAGGATGCTTAATAAAAACTCACAAGAAAGACAGCCACAGCGCCCCCGATGGCTTGTCCTGCAATAACATCCCTCCAGTGGTTTCTATACTCGGCTACTCTGTTGAAACCTGTCAGCGTGGCCAGACCGACCAATGAGAGGCTGAGGAGGGGGCCAGTCAGACGACCTCCACTGGACCTCACACATGACATGATGTACATCTGAAAGAAAATGTAATAAGAATATACTTCTATAAATGTATTTAAAACCAGAGGTCTAAGGTTTAATTATTTTTGTATAAATATATTCAAATCAAGAGTGTTTCAGTCAGATCTCACTCACTGAGAGGTAAACAGCTGTAAACAGACTAAGCCCCGCCTCTTTGGATGGGAACGTCTTCCTGGCTCTCATGATGTCATCAGGGTCACCACTACAAGTTTCTGATTGGCTGACGAAGAGCGAGGTGTCATCGCAGCCAAGTGCGGTGTAGTTGGGTCGACACACAGACAGGAAGTAAGGAGCCAGAGAACCTGTGATCAGCTGACCGCCATTTACAAAGATGTCTGTTGTAAACAGGCCAAAGGCATACACACCTGCAGAGAAACACACAACACACACAGACAACACACACACACACACACACACACACACACACACACACACACACATCATTATTACGTAGCTTTAACTGAGAGAAACGAACTTTCAAATTTAAAAAACCCAAGAGGTGACTTTATGAACTAAAATAAACATATAAAAAACATTTACTGTATGTAAAATATTTACACTAAGGTTACCAAGGAAACGGACGGTCCTGCGCACCATGGGGTTCACATAGCAACAGTCACCTATGACAAGCACCTTCTCCTGGTCATACAGCTGGTTTGAGTTGTAGTTCAGGAGGAAGATGACGAGCTCCACTCCTGAAATCTTCAGAAAACAACGACAATAAAAACGAATGATTCATGCTTGGACTGTTGAACTGTTAGAATAAATGTGTTAATTTACAACGTTGTGTACAGCTGTACTGTCTTTGATATTGATATTTCACATATAGTTTCACTGTGCAGTAATGATATACTGTTACATAGAAGGGCTCATTGTTATACCCTAATAGTTCCAAGTATGTAATAGTCCACTGACAAATAATACCAATGTGTTATTGTTAAAAGTAAAGCTGAAAATGTGAATCCTTGAAGTTACGCAGGATAAACACCAGCTGAGTCTTATTTAAAACGCGCTTCTTGGTTTAGTTCAACACATGTAATCTTGCAAACAAATCAAACAAACATGATGGTCAAGCTAAATGTGGCTAGCTGTTAGCTGGTACATCCATTACAGTATATTTGGCCCGACTCGTTCCTTGTCAGTTGGATTGTGTTTTGTTTTACAGAACATGTTGTAATATAACTTGTGTTGTTGCCATAAGTCAACAAGTTGGACCTGAATTTATGACATCCATCTAAATCTGTGCTTCATGTTTGCTATTGTCGTCACGGTAATGTTTGTTGTGCTTACTGCTTCAGTCAGCTTGCTTCCTTATTGGTTATTGTTCGGTTCCATGTGACAATTCAGGGAGTCAATGCTCTGCCACACCTCACACCACAGGAGAATCTGGCAAGATCATATTTGGATCCATCAAATGTTTTCCCCACTTAACATAGGATTTATCCAGTGCATCCATCAATGCCCAACATATCCCATGATACATTGTGTGCCAATTTAAGCTGGTGAACTATGAAGCGGCCACGTGATACACTTTTAAATAGTGTCAATACTCAATCAAATAACTACCAGTAAGGAGGAGACGTCTGAGAGATATTTCAGGCAGACAATTGGAGTCGGATTGATTTTTAAGATGAAATATTTCTTGTTACTCCCTCTGCTCTGTCAAGGCCTTTGCTGTCTCACACCACTTCTGCGGTTTAACATCCCAACATGAACCTACAGGCACCAGCTGGAGTGTCTGGGTCCTTCAGAGGATCATACATCTGATTTAGACAGCTAGAGGGTCAGGAGCTTCTTTGTACTCTGACAATGCTCATAGTCAACATGGCATACAACACATTTATATTTACACTCTCTTACTACTTCTTAACACTTATATCTAAAATAAACTGGTTATTCCTCATTTTGATTGTTTTTAAATCCCAGTCAAACTCACCAGTACAACGGGCAGGCCTCCCAGCACAGAGAACAGGATCACAGGCTGCACTCGGCTGTCCTGTTCTGGTCCAGGATCAGGTTTAGACAGATAGGGGTCTCTGCAGATGAAGCCCTGCTCTGCTGGACTGAACGTGTCCGTGAACTCACAGTAATAAACCAGCATCGCTGTCGCCGCCAAGATCACCACCTGAAAGTAAAGCATGATGGATCCACCAAGATACAACCAGGAGTCTGTTACCACGGGAATAAAGATCCAACAACAGCATCCAACCAGGTCAATGAGGATTCTGTTACCAGAGCGATAAAGATCAGGTCAACGAGGATTCTGTTACCAAGGCGATAAAGATCTAAAGACAGCATCCAACCAGGTCAACCAGGATTCTGTTTTCATGCTGCTAAAGATCCAACGTATGACTCCAGATTACTGCTGCCGTTTTATAATCCAGATGTGTTATAATGAGGAACACCCAGCTGAACAGGTGTTAAAGGTCCAGAGCAGATATTTCACCACAGGTGGAGATGACTGTACTGAAGTTGATGATGCGGTTTCACCCTCAGAGACATAGAAAGTCGTCTTTCTTTTTGATCCTGTGGTGATGAAACCTCGTCTTTCCGCTTCTGTAAACCTCCTGAATCAGCTGACTGATGTGAAGCTGAATTTATTCTGATTGACTGAACAGTCTGTGAGGAGTCGCTCACAGCCGACTGCACACTGACTCACTGCAGTGCGTTTTTATTTGGTGAGAAAAAGAAAAGGTTGGAGGACTCATGTCTTTATAGACTAACCTTACAAACAGTATGTGTTCAGGTCTTTTAGAAAAGGTTCATCATTAACCCCCCCAAGGAGGAGCTGGAAAACGTTGATGGGGAGAGGGAGGTTTTGGGTTGACTTACTGCACTTGCTGCCACCGCGACCCAACCTCGGATAAGCGGATGAAAATGAATGGATAGATAGTTTATCATTAAAAACATGCTGAGTTTCACCTAAAGTGAAAACTTTATTCAAACTGCGTTGATAGATTTACATTTTTAACCACCAGGGGTCTGCAAAACACGTTTAAAACAGCATAAAATATAAAACCACAGACTGTATCAAACATGGACGTCTCAGTGACGTCACCCTTTGGTTTCTGAAGGGGAGTTAAGAAGCCAAACGATGGCGGTCATCATAATGGAAATGATGACTCTACCTAACTGTAGATCAGTCAAGAAACAGATAAAACGTTGATTTACTTACCAATGTTCTGGTTCAGATTTAAATTGTATTATTCTTTGTTCAAAATGTAATCAACTTTTTTATTACTTACAAGGTGAGGTCTTTTTTGGTCTCTTTGTGGTGAGGTGTATTGTTACACACAGCTCTGAGTCCAGCGGAAGGAAATGAGTCCCTTGGCATTCTTCCGGTTAAGCCAGGTGTGTGGGCACGCTTATTCGCTCTCATTAGCAGTCAGAAGTTGTCAGTCGTGTGTGAGTGAGCAGTAGTGAAAGGACTGTGGGAACCTCCACAGGCTCAATTTCAATGTAGAGAACTCCAGAGACGCTATTGTTAGAATATGTTTTGATTTCTTGGTTTATTTGGTTTTTTTAAACAATGAGCATCTTTCTATGCCTTGTGGAGAAACCCAGCATCTATACTAAAGGAAAACTCAAACAGATGGCTAGACTCATACAGTTTTGTACTTTGCGGTCATGTCCAGAACATTGAATTCTGTGATTTATCAGATGTCTTTTTTGTGTGTTTAAAGGACTGACGTACTGCCTAGCCAGCAGCAAGGAGGTAAAACACAGCTAAGATGAGAGCCATCATAAACAAGCACTGCACTTGTACGGCTGGGATATTATTACATCTTTGTTAATTATTTAATTATTAAGTACTTGCTTTGGTTGATTTTCTGCCAACACTAAACACACACATCTGCTGTGACATGATCGTGACATCTTCTACTCCAACTTGGTCTATTGGCTTAATGTTTCAACATCTGAGGTTGCCGGTTTTATGACGTCCACGACCATCAAACATTCTGTCTTTCTGTAACTTTCAGATGAAGTTGTATATAAAATAAACTGCTGGACAAAGCAAGAGAAAACATTGGCTGTTGGCTAATGATGTATTTAAAAAACATTTTTATTCGACTAAATGTGTCTGTGTATTTTTCTGAGGTTTAAATACTGAGGTAGTTTTATCTAAAGAAACATGTGAAACCATGCATGTGCAAATGATGTGCTTTAATTTCACATTTAAAGTTCATAACTGAAGAAAAAAAACACAAGCAAAGCACAAACTGACATAAGCATACAGTAAACATTTAAATAAATACATATATGATTAATTACAGCCGTCTAATATCAGCGAGAAACGACACATGATGGGTCAAAGTTTTGTCAGGACACAAAAAAGTACATGGAAATAAATGACACTCTAGTAAACAAAGATTACAAAACATAAATAACAATATGTGTAGATCTCCCTTTGTATTTCTGTTAGTTGTAACACGTGGAAGATAAACATTTAATAAAGTGAATGTAATGATGATGATGTCCTGTCTGTGGGTTTTATCATTTTTCTCATAATGGATCGTCTAAAGTTCTGCTCAGCTGATGATGAAGCTCAGTGAAGATGTAGGGAAATGAAGCTCTGTGCAGCCAGCCATTAAAGTCCTAAAATGACCCTCATCCAGACGGTTCAGGTTTGATGCATATTTGCAGAAAGACGGCAGCTATTCAGATCTTTTACAAATGTTGTTGCATGCTGATGGACTTATTAATCGAGGGCTGAATGCACTTAAGTTTTAATAGAAATGTAAATGGTTCTTCAATGAATACACACAAAAAAAACACAGAACATAGCTTTTTACAGTAAGTGGTGTCATGTATTTTAGTCAGCAGAGTTCAGTGACGAGGAACAAAAACGAGAATAAACGTGATCAGCCTCTTTCTCAGAAGAGCCTGCACCTTTCTCATATACAATAAAGATATTCACATACTTTTTTCTCAATACTTTGACTTGACATAATAAACATTTTGAAAGCAACAAAGAAAAATGATTAAACACTAATATTGCTGTGTGGTTGGCAGCCTCAGCTGATTCTGACTCTGTTATTGAACAGCTGTATTTAATTACCCTGAATGTGACATTATTGCTATCGTGCTGCCTGGTTCTTTAGACTGTAGAAATCTTAACCAAAAACAAGCTGAGCTAACATTAGCTACAGTAGGCTACATGAAATGATTGATGACTCGTTCATTTACTTTAATCTGGTTTTTCTTTGTCGCTCATGGCAGCTCTCACATGCAGTATTGCCATCTTTGGTACTGTTTAGGTCAAGAAACAAGTCATTTTTTTCAAAGTGGTGCATTGACTGACTGTTCAATGATTCAGGGTGGACTGCAATCCGTGTAAAATGTCATGAAGAGGAAGAGGTAATAACAGAAGCAAAATCATTATTATGTAAAGGGTGAAGCCAGCAGAATGGAACAACACCATTTGTGTTGATGTGAAGCCCACAGTGCTTCATTATTTGCACCTTTTTTGCTTTTGCAGCACCTTCACGGTGTAAAAAACACACATTGGGAAACCACTTTGATGGCACTGTTTGCTTCAGTGTGAAAGCACAGAGGCTGTATGACAGTACATCTTTGACACAGTGCTGTTGCAAAATCTCTGCATGAAATCTGCAAGCCATGTGCTCCTGCTGAGACCTGTACTCCAAATGTATGACATCGTAAAATCATTCAAAGAAAATGCTTGTGAATAAAAATAACTGTGCTGTGCTACAACTAAATTTTCACTACATGCACAATTTTGTAGGGAATGCTGATTCTGCACATTTTGAGCTAAAAGGAAGGAATAGGAGTAAATATCACAGCATCACTGTAAAGACTGTTTCCAAGAATATACAGTATATTTATTCAGTATAACAATTACATACTTTTTATCTTTCATCAGCATACCTAAATATGGTTTACTAAAGTAATGCTGTGAAATGATAGACAGTGATGAAAAAGTAGGTTTTGTATTTACATCCCATAATAAAAATAAATCTAGAGTAGTTGTTTGTGATCCTTTGTGTGTTGAAGTGTACCGTTTGTGTTTGTGTCACCTTATGCTCACAGTCTGGGGTTTTGTCTCTGTTTTTACTGGAGTACAGCTGCTGGTGTTTGGTGCTCGGTGACCTCATTGGTGTCTGTGGGGGAGGGCGGGGTCGGGGCGGCAGAGGGAGAGGTTGGGGACAGGGTGGGGGAGGAAGGTGCATCAGTTGTGGTTGTCAGTGTGCTGTAGGAGGGTGGGATCATGGAGGTCTGTCTTTGCAGCAGCTGCATGATGGTCCCGATGTCTGCTGACATACATGACTCCAACCTGACAAGAATTAAACAGAAATACACCTTTAAGGTAAAGACTGTAGGTCTATAATGAAATACTTAACATTAGTAACGAATTGATACGATTATGAAGAAATACAAAACAGTGGTGATGATGAGCGATGATGAAGAGTGGTGATGAAGAGCGGTGATGAAGAGCGGTGATGAAGAGCGGTGATGAAGAGTGGTGATGAAGAGCGGTGATGAAGACTGGGGATGAAGAGCGGTGATGAAGAGTGGTGATGAAGAGTGGGGATGAAGACTGGTGATGAAGACTGGGGATGAAGACTGATGATGAAGACTGGTGATGAAGACTGGTGATGAAGAGTGGTGATGAAGACTGGGGATGAAGACTGGTGATGAAGACTGGGGATGAAGACTGATGATGAAGACTGGTGATGAAGAGTGGTGATGAAGACTGGGGATGAAGACTGGTGATGAAGACTGGGGATGAAGACTGGTGATGAAGACTGGGGATGAAGACTGATGATGAAGACTGGTGATGAAGACTGGTGATGAAGAGTGGTGATGAAGACTGGGGATGAAGACTGGTGATGAAGACTGGGGATGAAGACTGATGATGAAGACTGGTGATGAAGACTGGGGATGAAGACTGGGGATGAAGACTGGTGATGAAGAGTGGTGATGAAGACTGGGGATGAAGACTGGTGATGAAGACTGGGGATGAAGACTGATGATGAAGACTGGTGATGAAGACTGGTGATGAAGACTGGGGATGAAGACTGGTGATGAAGAGTGGTGATGAAGACTGATGATGAAGAGTGGTGATGAAGAGTGGTGATGAAGACTGGTGATGAAGAGTGGTGATGAAGACTGATGATGAAGAGTGATGATGAAGAGTGATGATGAAGAGTGGTGATGAAGACTGATGATGAAGACTGGTGATGAAGAGTGATGATGAAGAGTGGTGATGAAGACTGGTGATGAAGACTGGTGATGAAGAGTGGTGATGAAGACTGGTGATGAAGAGTGATGATGAAGACTGGTGATGAAGACTGGGGATGAAGACTGGTGATGAAGAGCGGTGATGAAGACTGGTGATGAAGAGTGGTGATGAAAATTGGTGATGAAGAGTGGTGATGAAGACTGGTGATGAAGAGTGCTGATGAAGACTGGTGATGAAGACTGGTGATGAAGAGTGGTGATGAAGACTGGTGATGAAGAGTGGTGATGAAGAGCGGTGATGAAGACTGGTGATGAAGAGTGGTGATGAAGAGCGGTGATGAAGACTGGTGATGAAGAGTGGTGATGAAGAGTGGTGATGAAGAGTGATGATGAAGACTGAAGATGAAGAGTGATGATGAAGACTGAAGATGAAGACTGGTGATGAAGACTGGTGATGAAGACTGGTGATGAAGAGCGGTGATGAAGACTGGTGATGAAGAGTGGTGATGAAGAGTGGTGATGAAGAGTGGTGATGAAGACTGGTGATGAAGAGTGATGATGAAGACTGAAGATGAAGACTGGTGATGAAGACTGGTGATGAAGAGTGATGATGAAGACTGGTGATGAAGACTGGTGATGAAGACTGGTGATGAAGAGCGGTGATGAAGACTGGTGATGAAGAGTGGTGATGAAGAGCGGTGATGAAGACTGGTGATGAAGAGTGGTGATGAAGAGTGGTGATGAAGAGTGATGATGAAGACTGAAGATGAAGAGTGATGATGAAGACTGAAGATGAAGACTGGTGATGAAGACTGGTGATGAAGACTGGTGATGAAGAGTGATGATGACGAGCGGTGACTGAGAGCAGTAACGAGCTGTGACTGACCTGTTGATCTGTGTCTGCAGGGTCTCCAGCCTTTTCTCCAGCTCCACCCTTTGCCTCTTAGAGACGACGGCTGGAAGAGCCGGGGGTGGGGGAGGAGGGCTGGAGGGAAAGGGTGAGGTGGAGGGCAGGTCAGGAGGAGGTGAGGGGGGGCTGTGGGAGCAGGGCACCTCCTGGTACCTCTGCTCCTCCCGACTCTCTGAGCCCCAGAACGTTAAGATGTTGGACACTCCTGATAGAGCATCTAGATCATAACCAAAAACAGGTAAGACACACAGTGAGAAACACACACACACACTTTCACACAAACACAAGTGTATATCTGACACCTGCCTGTCAGAGGGTTGCAGCTGCTCTCTTTCTTCTTGATGTCTGAGCTCCTCGCTGTGTTTGGAGCAGCATGATGTCTGGAGGTGTGATCAGGACTGGTCACCTGTGCGTCCTCATCCTCATCCTCACTGGAGAACACAGGGCCGTACCTGCACAAGCACTCAGGTGAGAGGCGTGTTCAGAAAGCAGCAGAGTTGATTAAATTGTGTTATCATTGTGTGTTTTATTGTTTCTTACAGCGTGTATTTATGATCGTCTTCGTTGTGAGTGTCACGCTGCTCCCTCTTACTTCTTCTACACCTGTAGGTCACTCTTTGTCTGCCGACTGAAACTGTGTCACCTGTCAGGTACACAAACACACAATCTGAAAACATCACACAACCACTATGAATTTGCAACAGAGTGGTTAGGAGTTGGTGAAGTATAAAAAAATAAACAGTGGAGGAAATGAAACACATGCAGAAGTACCAAAAACTGCAGTTCCTTAGGTGTCCACTAAAGCCTGTCTCCTGCAGTGAGTCGGTCTCCATAGAGCCCCATGTTCAAATGTCAAACTTAACAGCAGAAATAAACATGCTTACAGTCTGGTATAAAAAGAGTTTTGGTCTCTATAGCTTGTTTTTCTATTCATGACGACTGTACGGGCTGCATTTTTAAACTCATAACACAAAAGTGATGTTAATTAGGGGCGTGTCTTCTTTGACTGACAGGTGGGAGCTGCTAGCTGTCTGCTAGGTGTCACCTCAGCTAATTCAGTCACCAAACTTAACCTCTGAGCTATGTTTGTGCTACTGGAGCCTTTTGGAGATTTGTTCATGTACATATCAGACAAATAATCTGTCTTTGTCTCAGAAAAATGTCTTACTGTTCACTTTATTGTACTAACAGACCATCCAACAAGTCTGAGCTCCACTTTTTACAACTATTCACATTATAACATTATTTTAGTTACAACAATTAGCAGCTGTATGTGTCTGTGAGAACAACACCCGGACTGTTAGCACAATCATTGTTTACCAGAGGCTAAGTGTATGACAGTCATGATTGGATGAATGAATGGATGGATGGATGGATGGATTAATGGGTGGTTGGATGGATAGATTGTTGGATGGATGGATGGTTCGATGGATGGATGGATGGTTCGATGGATGTTTGGATGGATAGGCTTTGTTACCTGTGTGAGTGGAGGAGAGTTTGTGTTTCCTCCAGTTGGAGTCTTCTCTACCCAGCAGACCTACACCTTCACTATTAACCTGCACACAGAGATGGAGAGAACAAGTGATGAACTACAAAACACACAAGAGCTGCTCTAGGCAGAGCAAATCACACAAATACTCTTTTTAAGAGTAGTGGTCCAGTGTGAGAGATCATCCCTGATGTGTTGGTGCAGGTTAATCACGCATTTCTTCAAAATGTCTACAGGTAATATCTGAAAAACTGTTAAATAATATTTTAAGAACTTTGATTTTCAGTCGAACCTGAACTTCACAACGTTTCTGTCTGACTTTTCTTGAGCAGTTATTTTTCACAGGAGTAACTTACGTCTCGGAGGTTGAAGGTGATCTCTAAGTTTGACCAGAAATATTTACAGAACTCAGGATACATGTCCAGAACCTGCAGACACACACACCCACACACACATTCATACAGTATACATTAACTGTGTTTATCAGATAGATGAGACTTCCTCAGTTTTCAGCCTTTCTGTCTTTTGTAGATGTGTAACAGGTGGTACCTCCATCATGTCTTCTCTGTAGATTGTGTGCAGGTCGCAGTAGGTCAGAGCTCGGACGTCAGCGCTGGATTTTCCCGGTAGAGCCTGTAGGTTGATGGGCTCGCCGAAGACATCGTTCTTCCCTGCAGGTAGGAAATGATGATGACTGTGCTGCCTGCTGTAAGAACTGAATGTATAAATGAACAGTGGATAGAGGATATATTGTATACCTGTGTGTCGTACCATCACCTACCCAGTATGGCCACCACCACGTCTCCTTTGAGGATCTCGATGGACCCTCTGGATATGAAGTACAGAGCTGATATCAGGTCTCCAGCGTGGACCAGCGTGTCACCTGGGGGGGCGTGGGTGGTCTTAAACCTCATGGCCAGAGCCCTCAGACAGCCTTTAGTGGATCCTACTCACAAAACAAAAACCATGCAGGATTTACGTTTCCTAAAGCTACTTGCTTTAACAGAGTGCATCTGACACTATGAAGGTCAGGACATGTTTGGACGACTGTCACCTCTATATTAATATACATGAGTATGTGCTCACTTGTTTGCACTTTAAATGTTGGTATCTGTGTTTTCTGTGCTCTCATGTGCGATGACAAACAAGAGTTACCTTTGAAAGCCTTGCAGTTCTGCAGCAGGGACCTGTTCAGGTGGAGACAGATGTCTGCCTGCAGGCACTCGGGGAAACCTTTCAAAACCTGACAGAGGGAACAGTTTGATTAAAACCAACAAGAAGCCCTCAAACATCAGCTGGTAGGACTTCTGTTCAGTGTTGGAAATAAGTGGTAACATATCTAGTTACTTTTCATATTCAATAACGCTGGTACAATTACAGACATTTAAAGGCAATTGTTACTCTTTACTTTAAGTGAAATATTCAAGAAGAACACGAGATTAAAGTTTTTTGACATCGATCCTGCAGGTGAGGTTACGCAAATGTCAGCAAAGTAGACATCCTGGGAGAAAAACCATTGCGTGTAGTAAACATACATCCAGGCTAATGGTCATTCAGACGTGAGCATTCTGTCTCGGAAATACCAACATTATTTTTCCCTGCTCAAGTTAAACAACAAGAACGTGAGTGGTGAGTGGGAGTCTATGTGCAGGAGGAGAACTTTGCCCACCGACAAGAATAGTTATTCTGATCTCACAAAGCAGCGAGTTAAACAACATGCTTCTACTGAACTATCCATCACAGAGCCTGGAGCTGTTAACATCAGAGACCCAGGTGCAGATCATGGTGAGCTCGGCAGACCAAAGGCAGATCCACTTCATCTAAACAGACGAGGCCTGGTTTAAAATCACCACGAGCTCCACGATCTGTAAGCCAGGACTAAACATACTGATAGACAGGTTTGTTGACGACCTGCTTCATATCAACTGTCTGTCGCCTTCAGGCAAATAATTAGTTAATTTAATACTAACATATTGAAAATGTCTACAATGTTGTATGTCTGGATGGTAAATGGACTTAAGTTTATAAAGCGCTTTTCTAGTCTTCTGAGTACTCGAAGTGTTTTAAAACCGCATGTCACACCTACCCAGTCACACTCTGATGGCAGAGGTCGCTATGTAGTGAGAGCATCAGAAGTAACTAATCCCATTCAGGTTAAGTGTCTTGCCTAAGGAACATCTGACATGTTGCTGCAGGCGCTGGGGATCGAACCCTAGACCTTCCGGTTGAGAGACGACGACTCTACCAGCTGAGTCTGGAGCGTGTTTTCCTCTCACACTCCACAGCAGCACTAAATAATATGTACACAAAAGTAACACTAAAGTTACATTACCAAGTAACTAGTTACTTTTATAATGCAGTTACTCAGTTACTTTTGATATAGCAGTAACTAGTAACTCTAACTAGTTACTAATATAAAGTGACTAGCCATGACTACTTCTGATATTTCTTACATTAACTAAAAACAACAAGCTCACAACATTTAAATGGAAAATAATATAATTCATGAAAATGATAAAACATAAAAACAATAAGCATGTTTTTTAACACTGGTGGGAAGGCCGTACTCACAAAACAATAAGCATGTCTTTTTAACACTGGTGGGAAGGCCGTACTCACAGCGTTTTAAATGGAAAATAATTATAATTCATGAAAATGATAAAACATAAAAACAATAAGCATGTCTTTTTAACACTGGTGGGAAGGCCGTACTCACAGCGTTCATGTCGATCCCGTTGGTGTAGGACCAGGCGTGTTGGAAGTACTCCTCTAGACGTGGCATACATCAGAGCTGCAGGCGGCACACAGACACTCTCAGTTATCAAAGAAATATAACTGTGATTGTCCAATTCCCTCCAGCTAAGAGAGAAAAGACCAGACTCCCATATTTGCTTCAATGCATATCCCTCAGATGCAGACTCGAGTGGATTCAGGCAAATGGCGCATAAAGCAAATCTACAGTGACAATCTACAGTGACAACTACAAACCACAGGACTGAAGATAAATCAGGACAAAATCAAGTTTGTGGCTCGCTAAGCTTTAATTGAACGCTCTTATGGTAGCTTGTAATCAAATTATAACTCAGCCAATACATAAAATAAAATGTGTTTTACAGTTCACTTCACTAGAAGCATACGAAAGTTATTTCTGTTTCAGTATGAAAAAATTATGTTACTAAAAGGCAACCTGGCAACACTGCAAACTTGTGTAGTTATGATAGCTTTGCTTTGAGTCTCATGCTAGCTAGGATGAAACAGGATAGGATAGTACTTTATTGATCCCTAGAGGGGAAATTCGGGCGTTACAGCAGCACAGACAAGAAAGCTCAAAAACACATTAAACAGAATAGATAAGATAAATTAAAATTAAAATTAAAAATAAAATCAGGGGTTATATACAGTACAAAAATGAATGTTGCAAACGCTGCAGCAGTGTCCCACAATAGACACCGAACAGTGCAAAAATACTTAATAAAAGCAAGAAAATAGACGAAATAAAGAAAAAAAGAGTCGGAGCTGCTGCAACAGGCTGCCGACTCTCAGCGCCCGGAGACAATATCATGAAATGCACGGGCTATAAAAATGAATCACTTTCTAATCAAACAAAAGCACAACACAGATGGACAGACACAAAGGGACATTATGTAAATTAGGAAAATGACGACTCAACACACAAACAAAGACAAATTAGTGAGCAAAAAGCAGGTGGAAAAGTAGGAAACATCCATGAAGAGATTTATTAACTTTGCTGAAAAGCTCTTCCACATTGACGTATGCTCTCTCACTCCAACTCACACAGCTAGTCAAAGTATCTTTCTCAAGTTGAACTAGAGCAGATGTTTTTTGACACTTCTGGAGTTTTTTTTATGTGAAGCAGGCGTTCCCACTTTGAGAGATAACTAATCACATTGTAGAAAAAGTATTTTCTTTATGAGCACATACACCTGTCAACCTTTTTTGACCATGAATACAAAGGAAACTGACTCACCAATGCACATTCTGAACACCTGACAATGATTGCAACAACAAACTACAAAAAGAACATGAAAAAGAAAGTCCTGCCAGTGAGTTGAAAAGATAGTGAGGATCACCTCTCAAAACTTTGTTGAACCCGTCAGGTGTTTCTAATTGAGCTATGGGACATATGGATCTATCATCACAGGAAGTTCTTATTTCAAACCAAACTTCTGTCCCTTTAGATTCTCTCTAGCTTCTCTGACGTGGTTTAGTGATTCACTGACCTCCGACGAGCATGACGCAGATGGAGAAGATCTTCTCGGAGTTGGTGTTTGGGGAGACGTTCCGAAGCCGACGCTGGTCAGACTGCTGAAGGTGAAGTAAAGCGCGGTGACGTATTTGTCCCTGATAGAGGGACCCGACCCCATGATGGATTCATTGAACGGCTTCCCCAGCTGGCCGCCCAGCGTGGCCAACCAGCCGACCCCATGCGAGGTGGTCCGCTCCACGCTACCTATGGCATACCTGGGACAAGAAAAGAACATCTGGACTTTTCAATTATACACACTCAAACAGGAAACAGCATCATGTTTAATCATCAGCTCACAGGCTGAGAAAAAAAACGACTTCAATTATTTTAACTCAAATAGAAATAAAAAATCTACTTTTTCGACTGATTACAATAAAAAGAGAGAAGAGCTGAACGTTATTGTAAAGCTCTAAAAATATTAGAGTCTTTAATCCTACAGAGCCGGGCTTCCTCATCATTTAAAATCTGATTCTTTTGGTCAATACTTATTACTAATACAAATTTTTTGGACAAGACTGCTCTATTATATACTCTGAAATTAAATGAGAGAGCAAGATTTATTGATTTCATGGTATAATAATTTCCTTAAAAGAATCAGATTCATTGCTGCAGTCTAGTGTGTGTGTCGAGAAGGGCTGAGGCTGCAGCACAGGAAATCTGTGTCGACTTGCAGGTCTACTGTAGTTTAGGCAGAGCAAGTCTAAGTGCAAGCAGGGTCTGTTTTAGCAGCAGAAGAAAGGCTTTTTGAGGACAAGTTTCTGACACACACAGACTAATAAAGAGATGTTAATCCTTCACCCATCTTTACTTTATTTTAAGACTAAAACAAAGATGAAGTGGATGTCTGGTGTGGGCTCAGCTGTCCCTGCAGTGTTCTGTGTGTGACACATGTTAATGAAGTTAACATTACAAACATGCAGACTGACGCAGAGCATGTTGTTAGTAAAGTTTTGGTTTGGTGTTAAAAAAAAAAACCACAGCATGATGTACCAGATGCAGGCCAGCCAGTGTGCGATGAGGGCAAAGGTGCACATGAGGAGGAAGAGGACGGCTGCCCCGTACTCTGAGTAGCGGTCCAACTTCCTGGCTACACGAACCAATCGCAATAACCGAGCTGTCTTCAATAAGCCAATCAGAGTGGTGGTCTGTTACAGAAGAGGAGAGCAGCGTATGACCCATGTGAGAATATAAAGAAGTTTCACATTTCTTCGCCTCTATCTTTGCTCCTTGTAAAGAGAAGGATTTTCTCTCTACTCTCTCAGTTTTTACCCAAACCTCTCCCTGCTTCCTCCCTACCTCACCCTCTCTTCTCCCATTAACCACCTTCTCTCTACCTCTCCCTCACCTCCTCTCCCCCTCCTTCCTCCCTACCTCTCCCTCTCCTCCTTTTCCCCTCCCTCCCTCCCTCTTACCTCTCCACTTCTCTCCCCTCCTCTCCCTCCCTCCTCCTCTAACCACCTCCTCTCTCCCTCCCTCCCTCCCCCCTACCTCTCCCTCCCTCTTCCCTACCTCTCCCTCTCCTCCTCCTCTAACCACCTCCTCTCCTGAGCGGTAGATGAGGAGGTCAAAGGGAATGGCGGCCACCATGTCGATGAGGAACCAGCCTTTAAAGTAGTGCACAGCGATCTTGGTAGACTGACTCACCACCTGAGGACACACAGAGCGGACAGCGTGTAATCAATGTATCATTATGAGAGTTTTAGCAGCACTTCTTATAACAGCTCATTAAGAAGAGGGCAATAATGGGTAATATTGTTATTATAAAGAGGTAAACAAATGTAATAACATGTTATTACCAAAGAAATAACTAGGTCATGGCTTGTTAATAACAATATGCAAATCTGGGTAATATTTTACAGAAAATTATGAATCAAATAATGGTCCAAAATCTAAGGAGACAAATTTAAAGATATGAAAAAAATTGTTAAAATACAGAAATCCTTGTAACATGCCAACAATTAAATGGTTATATGATTAAATTCACCCAACCCTTTTATTCCAAACATTTGATTTACAGTAGTTTCAAAGAAACACTTTACAAACTATATGTTTAACCTTGTGACTTTTTGTACAACTGGAAAACCTTCTGGTAGTTTATGTGTAATAACAAATAATCCGTGCAGAAAAATGCTAAATTAAATGTGTAAGTCTGTGAATGGTCTGTTTTTTTTAATAGTTAAAAAGAGAAAAAGAGAAGAGAAGTAGTTGTTTTAGCATATTTCAAGACATTCTTTTTTTTAGAAATTGGTTACCATGAATATATCTCTTTAGTGTCATTGCTATAAAAACTATACTGTGCATTCACTGTGCATTTACGGTTCATTCACTGTGCAGTCATTCTGCAGTCCCACAGAGTGATCGGGTCACCTCATCATTAGAGTTCACATAGGTGGTCCTGAAGTTGATGATGATGTCAACAATAAACATGATGTCCACGATCAGATCCACCACATTTAGGGGGGAGCACGAGTACCCACAGGTCTGCATGGCTGCCTCCTCTTGGTCACTGAAGGAATGACATAAAAAAACATCAATAAAGGGATTTTATCCAAGGAAAATGGAGGATAAATACATTTAAAGAAATTCCATCAAATGTAATTATTCTGCAGGGCTGTGTCCTGTTGGTCATAACAACTATTCTTCTATTCTTCTCGAGTCGAGTGAGACCATAAATATCTGTCCCTTAAGGGGCAGACACAGAGAGAAAGGGGTCTCGGGATCATTTTAGGTTACTCATTGAACTGGACTCTTTGCTTTTAACAATTAGTCTTAGAAACAAATGATGTGCGTCTGCACCAACCTGAGCAGAAAAGTGGCAGAATAAGGAGTGAATATGGCAGTATAGATCACTAAGAGCAGGATGACCCAGTCCCACACGGCTTTAAAGGGACTGTAGTGGAGGATGGTCCACTTCTGGATCCTAGGGGTCTGCAGCTTGTACTCTGGTAACACGTCAGCACCCAGAGACAGCACCTACAGAGAGAGAAAGAGAGAGAGAGAGAGAGAGAGAGAGAGAGAGAGAGAGAGAGAGAGAGAGAGAGAGAGAATGCTGCTTTAATCCTTCAATCCTCCATGATGCTCCTTTTGCACCTGTCCAAAGCAGATTAAAAACACTCCAAATGAGAGCTAATTTGCTGCAGCTGGACACCCTGAGACTCCTCCAGGAGGCTCAATCTGCACCATTTTATCCCAGCCTGTGTCCGAAACCGCCAAATTTCACAATATTCATACTAAATGTGACATCAGTATGTTTACAAAACAAATCTACTTCTCATTTACAAGCTTGTTAGGAATGTGAAGACGTTGACCACAGGTTTTTATAGGGTGTGTGGTTGATAAATCCACCTCCAGCTCTGTCTCCATGGTGATTAGTTTAGGGGTCAGATTGATTTGATGTGTCTTGTTTTTTGTTCTTGTTTCTATTTTTTATAAAGGTCTCATATTATTCTCCTTTTCAACCATAAGTCTCAGAGCTCCCTTGCAAAACATAGTGTGTGAAGTTCCTTGTTCTAAATCCACTCTGATCCTGTATTTGATCATGTCTATAAACCCCTCTATTTCAGCCCTGCTCAGAACAGGCTGTTTCTGTGTCTGTACCTTTAAAGTTACAGCATTATTACTGTTAGAGCAGTGAGGTAGGTTACTGTCACTTTAAGAGAGAGAGCTCTCTAGCGGAGTGAGAGCGGCTCGAAGTGATTCAGGAAGTTGAGGATCAATAAAGGACCGAGCCACGTGGGTTCCTTACCATGGTATAGTTTATTGATTACGAGAACTTGGCTTTGAACCCCCCTTTAAGATTGTTTTTTAAAAATGTGGATTAAAGGAATTTGTTTTAGCAGTTTTACATCTGAGTCCTGTGGAAGTTTTTCCTCTTCAAGTGAACATGCACGAGTAAATCCAAGGCCATGTGATCTTCAACCCACCACAAGTGTCATCAGTACTCTTATTTTGTGCTACTTCCTTCTTCTACTCCACTACATCTCAAATGCAATTAAAAGTTTTACTCCACTACATCTGTCTGAAATGCATGCACAAACACACACACACACATGCACACATGCACAAACAAACACACACACATGCACGCACGCACACATACAGAGAGGAGGATGAGGAGGAGGTGTGAACAGGATAATTAATGAGCTGTGAGAGTTGAACTCCTCTGGGCTCTAACATGAGACTCCTGCAGCGCTGCACACACAGTCACATGTCACATGACTCCTGGATGACCTTCAATTCAATTCATTTTTATTTAAAGCTCTGTCATACATTTAAAAACAGTTCTGATCTTTTTGATCATACTTACAGACTTTAGTGGTTATTATATACAGTCATAGATGTCTGGAAAATATTAGGTTTTTCAATTCATTGATAGTGGTGTTAAGAAGTTGAACTATGGATGAAGACGTGAAGACAATGTGAACATCGAGTGTATATGTTACAGAGCGAGAAGGAGGTGAGTTAAATTGGATTTGCTGTGGTTGTTGTTCTTCCTTCTTCAGCAATTGGCTATCGTTTTTTCCAGTGACTATCCACAAAGCGCGTGCTTGGCTGTCATCGGGGCCCCCCCCAAACATATAAGGCGATCGGATCGTTAAGATTTGAAGTGAGTGCGGCTCTGACATTCAAATAAAAATAACTCATCACTCTTAACACAGCAACACCTGACAAGATCATCTACACAAACATCAATAAATCAGGACTTTGATTAGGATCGTTGGAAGAGGGGAACCAGTAAGTAAGATTATCTTGTAGTGTGTAGGACGGCAGCTTAAACCCATTAATAGTGCTGAACACTGAACACACATATACAAACAGGCACCCACACACACTCCCTCTCACCTCATGAGTGACCACTGAGGATACTCGCACGGCTCTCTTCACCTGGTTGTTTCTGTGATCAGTGTCGTCCTGTGACACACAGCTCTCCACCACACTCACAGAGGACATCTTCAACCCGTTAATACAGGTCTGATACTCTGAACAGATCCTGTCCTTCTTCTTCTTCTTTTATTTCTCCTTCTTTGTCTGAGATGAAAAGATGTTCTACTCTCTTATCTTTTCTTCTTTTGTTCTTTCTTGTCTTTCCTCCTCCATCACTCTATCCCTATTTATTCCTCTAAGTTTACTCTTCTCTGTCACTTCTTTTCTTCCTTATTCCACCGTTGTATTTGAGAGTTTGTCCCACCGTCCATCAACAGCATCAACGACTGACTCCTTTTTTCCCTTTTACTCCTTTAAACAAAACAAAAAATAGCTTAGACTTATGTTTCTTAGCTTGTTTTCTTAGCTTGCATTTGCTCTCTCTTCATGGTACAAAGTTCAGCCTGAGGAACGTTATAAATCCTGTTTGTAGACGATCAGGTCACACGTCTTCATAGGTTTTTAATTTGAAGTCAGGAGGACATTTCTTGTGATTCTTCTCTCAATCTGATCTCTGGACCAGCTTCAGCTCCTCCTCAGATCCTACTTATGTCTCAGTTCCTCCTCAGGCCCTCCTCCTCGGGTCCTCCTAGGATCTTAGTTCCTCCTCGGGTCCTCCTCGGATCTTAGTTCCTCCTCGGGTCTTCCTCGGATCTTAGTTCCTCCTCAGGCCCTCCTCCTCGGGTCCTCCTAGGATCTTAGTTCCTCCTCGGGTCCTCCTCGGATCTTAGTTCCTCCTCGGGTCTTCCTCGGATCTTAGTTCCTCCTCAGGCCCTCCTCCTCGGGTCCTCCTCGGATCTTAGTTCCTCCTCGGGTCTTCCTCGGATCTTAGTTCCTCCTCAGGCCCTCCTCCTCGGGTCCTCCTCGGATCTTAGTTCCTCCTCGGGTCCTCCTCGGATCTTAGTTCCTCCTCGGGTCCTCCTCAGATCTTCAGATCTTAGTTCCTCTTTGGGTCCTCTCTTATCTATTCTGCAGCTTTCACTTCACCCCTCTCTCTCTCTCTCCTCCCCTTTTTGTCCCCCTCCTCCTCTCTATCTCTCTCTCCTCTTCACCATCCTCTGTCCTCCAACAGGAGTCTATTAACACCGAAACCAGAGTACCACTATATTTATAAAAGCACAATAAACTAAGGCACAAACTGAGTGTGCCACTCCATGATTATACATGAGTAATGTCAAGCTGCATTATTCTAAACAAACCTTTATTATTCTGACGTGTTTGTTATTAAACGGTCAATAAGGAAAATCCTCTTTATTAGCACTCGGATAGATCATCTTTTTAAATTCAAACCCAGTAAAATGTATTTTAAAACTTTGAAATCAGTGAAGTCAAAAGACTCAAAAAGGTTTTTTAGTGCAGTAGTAACCATGAATGCCTGCTTCAATGTACAATACGATACAATCTATAGTCCCCTTAAGCCGGACAGAGACTATGCTATTTGTAGTAAAGTCGAGGTGAAATGTCATCTCACACTGTACGACTGAAACGTTTACGATAACAGAAGCTCATGACCTGAGTGCTCACAAATACGAGTCAAATACAGACAAAGCATTGACATTGTCAATAAAGTTCCCTTTGAAAACTCCCACAGACCGAGGTTAACGTCAGATCTGTGTGTTGTCTCAGACGCACGGCTCAAATTCAAACAACATCCAAATACACACCTCTCAGCTTCACCAACAAACACAAGCTAACTAGCAGCTAATTCATAACAAATATTATCTGTCAGCTGGAGGTCCACAGATTTTTATTGCCAACTTCGTTCATATCTTTGGTGACAGAAGGAGGAATAAACATCAAAATGTCATGCCTGCTGTTGCCACGGTCATTTCAGACACTGTCTCACAGTTAGCATTGGCACATGGTGACCGGCCGTCATGACACCCTGCACAGCTAACAATGTGTGATTGTAGCCTACAGTGTTGTCTTGGACTCCAGTGCTGCACACATTTTTCTGCCTCCATATTATCAATAAATAAAACCAATAGAAATAAACAACAATCTTCATTTAAACACAGAAGTGTAGGCCAATGAACAGCATAAAACAACACATACTGAACATGATGTGAATGGCAGTGAGGTCAGTGAAGGAGCACTCTGCTGCATGCTGCACAAATTGATTAAAAGGGAATAACAAAGCATACAAAAGTATCTTATAGGGGAATGTGTTACACTTAGAAAAGTGTATTAACTGGGTAATAAAGCTAGAATATAAAAATACATTAAATGATCATCGTTACCATGGTAACACACTTAACATGTGGGTGACACAGATGATTAGGTGATGTGAAGTGACTGCTGATGTTTTAGGAAAGAAGTCCTCTAAAGAGCCATATGTCCGCACCTCTAAAGAGCCATATGTCCGCACGCACGCACGCACGCACGCACGCACGCACGCACACACACACACACACGCGCATACACACACACACACACGTTCAGGGTGATGTCCTCTCTGTCAGTAAGAAGACACAGTGAGAAATAATGAATCACCTTTAAAGCTCAACACTTTATTCCGTATCATCACCAGATCATCCATGTTGCTCTGACATTACTTTTGTTTCGTTTGTATTTATATTCACCACGGTAACAGAGGACAAAAGTGTGCCAGCGGGCATCAAGTCACAGAAGCGGAGTGTACATTTCAGAGTTTGACTGTAAGAATTCAGACGTCCTCCAACCACACCAGAGGACGTCAGCGATGTCATCAAAGTGCCCCCGAGCCATGCTAAATTAACTATATGATATCAGCAGGTGCTCCTCATTAATCACCTGCCCTCCAAACAGAAATATCTGCCTCCTCCCTCTTTGTCAACCCCCCTCCCTCACCCTGTGTGTCCTCCAACAGGAGCAGCTGAGAGCCTTGGGGAAGAGTGGGGGGGGGGGTGGCTTCACACCAGTCATGGAGCTGGAACATTGATGCTCCTTCAAAGAACAACCTCTGTGTGGAAGATTCATTTCTAATAGTGTTTAAAAAAAACAGTAGCTATCCTTACATTAACGTTTCTCTGTTTTCAGAACCTGCTCTGTGTTGAGTAGCTCTGCGTTAAGTTCAAACACAATCCTGGTTTGAACCATATCTCTACGCTATACCATAATTGAAGGTGTTGCACCAGCTGAGATGGTTCCAACATAGGCAGACGTTACACCTCAAAGCTAACACATAGCTCCTGGTAGTATGGTATATATGGTTGTCATGGCGATGGGTTTGAAAGGCGGGATCACTTGGAAGATGACGAGGAGCAGAGGGGTTTTGCAGGCTGTTTGGTGTCAGCACTGTGCGTGATGACTTTGTGTTTTACTCCTGCTTTAGTTATCCACGAGTGGAGATCATTTCATCCATCCAATAATAGAATACTGTTAAATTACCATATGTAGTTGAAGATTTGATGACGTTAATGTCACATAGGAAGTGGCTGAATGCTAACGTTAGCCGTAACCAAACGAGTGCACAACTACAACATTTAAAAGCTAGTTTAAAGGCAGGGTTGGTCATTTTAGAAAACTAGCATGATTTTGAAAGTAGCATTCCCTCAGTGATCCGTCTGCACCCACCCACCCAGGGAGGCATCTGATTGGTTCATCAGATTGGTACCTCGTGGCAGACACTGGTCAAAGTTTTTACATACTCACAACTGCTACAGATGACGGATTTCCTTAGTTCCTTTTCAGAGCACATTAATTATTAATCAGGTCAGGACCTAAAGACAATCACAACCAAAATCCTTAAAAGTGTTTCTGGAGAAAATGACCAACCCTGCCTTTAAATGTAAGGTTTAGTTAAGGACACCAGAACTAAAGACAGAACTTATAAACAAATGCTGACACAGGACACTGGACTCTCGCTCTCTCTCAGCGGGGTTAATGTCCCTTCGTTCTTCATGAAATGTGCCTGAATGAACTTTCTGCTGCTGATCAGATTAATCATCTTTCAGTGAAAACATCAAACACTGAAAATCACAACTTCATTTCCTTGTTCACTGGCTGTGACTTCTTGATCAAAAATGAACATAAATAAATTAAACCCCACAAATGTTAAATGTGTTAATCACAGACGATGTATCAACATGCTGGTGCGTTCAGTCATCCTACCAACAGGCAAAGACCTGAAGCTTAAAATTAACATCATACTTTCCTCTGGGGGATTTTTCGTTCTTCCTTCCTCACCAAGATTGCATTTTAGGCCATTGTCCTAAAAGTCTCCTCATGTGCATCAAAGCGCCTACGTTTAAGTCCTATGGGGACCTCTAGTGGCCAGGGTAGTTATGACAGCAGCCAAGAAGAAAAAAGGTGAAAGTCAGATAAGACAGAATATGAACGGGGTGAAATCAGGTCTGAACGTCTAACACCATTTTTAACCAGCTAAATTATGGTTACAACAACATTAACATGACAGAAAAAAAAAGTTTTGTTTCATAATTTTGAGAACATGATGATTTAAAGAATTTATTCTTTTAGCTGCATTTGACCAAAACTTTTGCATCGGCGGGTAAAATCCTATCTATGCAAAGATGTTACACATATTACAAAGATGTCATTTCAACCTAATTTATTCTTGGAACAAAAGTCACACATACTGCACTTTATGGGCGGTGAGATTTTGGGACAGTTGGGTCTCTTATAATGAGAACAGTTTAAAACATTCTCCACAGAAGAAGAAAGAAGAAGACTGAGCATGTGCAGGTTCTGACATCACAAGCAGATAGACCCCTTGGTGCTGACCATAGACTGTTCATACTGATGGACAGAGTCATCTGAATGTGAAAGCACACCTGGATGGATGTACAGCTGGTGTGTTTGTAACAGAAACGTCAGTGTATGAAACGTGGACAAACCTGAGTGACTTTCTCTGTGACGTGGTGAGTCCGGTCCATCAGTTTACTGGGAGGTCTGATCTCACCTGGAGGTAATGCAACCAGGGGGTCAGCCTTAGTGTCCAACAGACTCTGAGTCATCTGCTGCAAGAAAGACAACACACACACAAATGCACTTTATTTTGGTGTTCTCCGCACACTAACACAATAAAGCATATCAAATCAGCAACTGAGGCAGCAGTAGACCAGCCTGCAGTGACTTGGATCTGGAGTCGAAGGGTTCGTACCATATCGTATAGTAGCTATTTACATGCTTTCTTCAGCTGAACTTGAGATTTTGTGTTCACAGCTGATTCTCTGCTTCCTTTAAATGGTGAACATTTTGCTGGTGAGGTATATTTGTGTGGACATGATGATGTGTGTGTACATGTGTTACCTGGCTGTTGGTCCGACAGCGTAAATCAGCGTCCGATGACCCAGCAGGAGTGCTGCTCTTCCTGACGGAGACCATACCTGCTGAACGACAGTTTCACATGAAAACTTTGACTTCGATTTGCTTCGATTGTGTTTATTAATCTTTAGTCCAAAATCATAAAGGTCATTCAAACTCCACATGAGAACACCTGTGCAGATGTGCAGTCCACACAGCGGACAGATACACGTGCACGTATAGATCCAATGTTTCAACTAGCGCCCTCTGCTGGTCAGATTAAAGGAAAATGATCAGTTCTATTTTAAAACTAATAAGAGATCCAAGAAAGTCACATGATTCATTCTTTTTTAACTTTTACAAATGTTTTAATCAGGAATCTGTGTCTGGGGAGATGGTATCTTTAAATCTTTTTAATTGTAGATTGAAGATATTGGAGGAAGATGCTTCATGTTGTAGGCTCAGGATATGTTGATCTGTGTTTGTATTTGCTCACTATTTTTATGTCTCTAAATTGTTTATTGTGCTGCTGCCCCTCTTGGTCAGGACACTCCAAGAGGACACAATAAGGTTCTCCTGGTTGATTCATTTATAAATGAAAATAAAGAAAAGTCACATCAGATCAGAACAAACAAAAATAGGTTGACCTGAGTCAGAGTTTTTTTTCTCACCTGTGCAGCTGTGTCTCAGCTGCAGCCTCTTGTCCCAGTAACTCTCTCCACTCTTGATGTCGTCCACTGAGGACGAGTGTTTCAGACTGGTACAGCTGCCGTCCAGCCTGCTGCAGGGACGAGCGGTGTGGAGGAGACACTCCTCTTCATCTCCTCCTCTTTCTCTCTCCTCCTTTCTGTGCAGGATGTAAAAAACAAAAACAAAGTGAGAGCATGTTGGAGACACACAAAGCTTCCTCACACAGCCGTCAGATTTACAGAGATGTAGAAGGAGATCAGGAACATGATAGACACTGAGTGATAAAAGTAGAGTGAATCAGAGTGAATCAGAGTGAATCAGGCTGCAAGTTTGTTATTTTACTTATTCCATTTGATTTTACTACTTAATCGTTTTAAGATCGTAGGTTTACATCGAGACTCTGGGCAACTCGTTGACACGTTCTGATTAAACTATCAGTGATTGCAAACCAGCACAGGTGTGTTAAGTCTGTACCTGGACAACCAACATGAAAGTGAGCTGGATTACCTGATCCTTGGTAGAAAAAGAAATGAATTATCAAATCTTGATTATTTTTTCCCCCGGATTAAATCTTGTGAACATCAGTGCCCAGGAGACATTTTAACACTTTTTTTTTAACATAATCCCACTGTGACGTCACAAGGGCAAATTTGAAACAGAGCATTTTTCACTGTGTTGTTAGACTTTTGCAGACTACAATCAAAGGACTGGATGGATTTATTTCACATTTTGTGGGTCGGTAGACGCTCAGGTTACTCAAATATATGTTCAAAAACACTGTGAAAGTGGATTTTTCACAATATGTCCCCTTTAACAATAAAGATTTAGAAACTGAATAACCTTGTTTGAGGATGTGATGAGGTCAGAGCTGGTGGTAGCTCCCTCATTCTCCTCCCTCCTCCTTCTATTCCTGCACTCACATCTAGCAGCCCACAGACATCACCTCCTTCTCTTCTCCCTCTCTCTCCCTCACTCCTTCTCCTGGGCTCCACCCAGCTGTCCTTCTCTGCTCCTCTCTGCCTCTGTCTCTCCTCCTCCTCCTCCTCTTTGTCCCACAGCAGGAGTCCAACTCCGGCCTCCTCCAGCTGCTGTCTCTCGGGGAGGGACAGAAGTTTGTCCAGGGCCACAGACTCATGCCCGAGTGGCGGGAGCGGAGCACCGAGCTCTGTGTCTGCGCTGGAGGAGGGGCTGAGGGAGCGCAGGAGGAGGCGCAGACGCTGACGCCGAGCTGCAGGAGGAACAGGACAGTGTCAGAATTGAGTATTTTCAAAGTCTTATAAAGATCTTCCTCTGTGAAAATACAGAAATAACCTTCAATATCATCACATGTGAATCTGTAACATCAAACTTTAAACTGTAAGTAGGCCTTTAGAAAATATTACTTATTTTTATGAAGTTTTACCTTTTAATGGCTGACTCACTCTTCAATGTTGTAACATGTAAAGGAACGATATGTAGGAATTTCATTTGGTGCGCCCACTGAAGGTCTCTCAGTGCAACTGCACTGTTGTAAAACACAGCGCTATTAACACCTCCACCTCATTAAAGATTTGCATTTGTTGACAGACATAGGGCGGTGAAGTTGGCAGAGACGTTGTGAGGAGATAAACAAACAAGTCCACTTACAAGGTCCAGCAAAATGACCGGATTTTGCACAAATATGACTGCTAGTGACTACTCTGCTAGCCCGTTGTTTGCAAACTGCATGTGGAGTATCGTGTAAAATTACAAATTAAAATCTAACTACACCTGTTGGAGGTGTATTTTCAAGGTGAAAATACTTGAATGAAGTCTTTTTGTCGGACAAGTTCATAAAATGAATACAATTGTGCAACACAGATGTTGTGGTTGAATGTTTCTCCATGAGTGTAACAAACATACCCAGGGTGAGCCAGGGGATCCTCAGCACTCTGTGCAGCTCTCTGACGGGAGAAGTGTTGGAGGGTCGGGGGTCAGTGGGTAGTTCAAAGTTCAGGATGAACATGATGACAAGACCATCTTCATTCTTCACGGGAACCACATCTATCACACAGTGGAAACACACTCCTACACACACACACACACACACACACAGGCACACACAGACGGATGGGAGAGATATATTTACATGTAAAGCTTCTGTGAAAAATCAGATTCATGTCATTCTGAATACTTCCTCTGGATGGTGACACTGTGCTGAGCAGATATCATCCTTTTTTTTTAGAAACTGCTGTTATGACGCTCGCTTCAAAGAGAGCAGACCCCATTGATAAAAACAGGAATAACATCTCACATCATCACTGGAGGTGCACATCGTCTACCACACAGAGACTGATCTTTTGTTTTGTTTGATCATCATCCTCTGCAACAAAAAGGTCTATCTCTGTAGGGATCCTCTCTGTAATGTTGTCACACACATAGCAGACACACTTTGAGCCATCGAGGATTACACTGCAGACATTACAGCCTGTTTCACTGCTGCAGAATTAAATAATTTACTGGACAAATTCAACATTTTCCCTCCTGCAGAGCTCAAAACATTTAAAAAAAGGACTGAGGTTCAAAAAACAGAATTCTCCTTCAGAGGGAGAACCATCAGAGTGTCTGATGGCCTAGCCGGGAGGTCACAGGCCAACGGATGGAGACTGTGCTCCTCCAAGCGGGCGGCCCGGGTTCAAGTCTGTAAGGCTTTCAAAGCCATAAACAGATTTTATAATAGATTTTTTAAAGGAAGGACCAGTAGGCTGAAGAACTCTAGTGGAGGCCATTTTCTTGTCCATCATGTTGACAGGTTAGATTTACAAGTCTGGCATGTAAAACGCAGAAACATATTTCACAAATTCACAATGATGTTTACAATGCAACCGTTCAACACAGCAAATGCTTGCACAGTTGTATCGCCTAAATGCAGGACAGACCGTGCAGAGAAACAACATCAGTCCTGATCCGCTGCACACCAGCTCGCTCTCTCCCGAACACACCCACATGTATTTGGAGGTGTGCAGAAAACATGGGAAGAAACTGTCAGACAATGGACCATTGTAGACAACTTAAGTGGACAGTGTGTGTGTGTGTGTGTGTGTGTGTGTGTGTGTGTGTGTGTGTGTGTGTGTGTGTGTGTGTGTGTGTGTGTGTGTGTGTGTGTGTGTGTGTGTGTGAAGGACATACTAGGGAGTCGGCGTATGGGGCAAAATCTACGGCCAGACTGGATTAGCATCATGATAATTTATTCTACCTTTATCTTCTATATGAGATCAAAATGACAAAACTAGAGGACCATCTGCTTTAGAAAACACACACACACACACACACACACACACACACACACACACACACACACACACAGACACAGACACACACTTACCAGCTGTGTTGTTCCATGTTTCAGGTGCTATAGAGACCAAACTCTGACCTGTTCCGACCTTTTTAAACGATAAAACAAGTTTAATCAGCAGAGATGAGTTTGTGATTTAAGCTCTAACACTCTGTGACTCCATGTTGGATTCATGATGATGATTATAAAGACCTCAGACTGATATTAAACCTCTCTGTCTCAATTTAAAACAGGTGAGAGGAGGAACACCTGATGAGTTTATTAGATTAAAGATCTAGATCATCACACAGAATATGAAAAATCCCATCAATGATGCATAGACAACTATTTTTAAATCTCCTTCTCTGAACACAGTATAGAGCTGTTCCAAAACTTCACATACCTTCAAATACTTTTTTTAACCATGTGCTTTAAAACAGTACAACCTCTGTTATTTTAATAAGTGATTGCATCAAAAAGCATGTTAACGGCTAGGCCTGATAAATCGATAACGATAATTATTGTGATATAATTTTTCTGAACGTAAATATGACAAATATTGACTAAAAGTTTGATATATTTAAAACTGTTATTACATCACACAAAAAACTGGGAAAGGGGGGCACTAATGCGCCTTAAACTCTAGTTGCCACCCCAGATTAAAGAAAAAACGAAAAGGACAACAAACAGCCAATCACGAGATATGGAAAGGCGGGCACACAGACGTTTGGAGTGGAATGAAAACACAGATGAAATTAGCGGTAGTGACACCGAAGAAAACGCTGAGCCTACCAGCTCAAAGCATGGAGACGACGTTGTCAAGACAACAAGAAAGGCCACTCAACTTCTGCAGTTTAGAGACATTTTGGCTATTTACAGTCCGATAAAAAACAGAGTAAAGTTTCGTCTTAACTGTGCCGAAGACAAGTGCAGCTAAAACAGGCAACACCACAAACCTTTGAACCTCTGTGAAGTTTCTTGTTCTAAATCCACTCTGATCCTGTATTTGATCATGTCTACGAACCCTCTATTTCAGCCCTGCTCAGAACAGGCTGTTTCTGTGTCTGTACCTTTAAATATGTAAATTAGCTGTGTCTGACCACGCCCCCTCTCTGGAAGGGCTTAGTTGGCTCAGGCTTTCTTGCACCATGCCAAATTATTTACGGTGAGAAGGCAGACTTAGAGGGCAGAACGGACACCTAGCTGTGGGAGTGTCACCCACCTGGGGGAGGGGTTACTGCCCTTTGTGATGTCATGAAGGGAAAATCTCCAAACGGCCTGTTTGAGCACACATTTTCTGAAAAGTGGAACAGGCAGAAGACGGAGAGGATGGACTTTTCTCATTCTTTGGGGTGTTTGTAGACAGGCTAGGGACACACACGTTAAAGTAGCCGACTTATAAACACTGAAAGTAAAGAACTGTTCCATTCTGTCGTCATCAGTTCTCCAAAACATGTCAGGATTATGAACATACACTTTTAATTTATCAAAGGTGTTAACTCTTCATACAAAAAGGACTCTACAAAAGAAAATTAGATTCATTCTCATCTTGTCTTTAATCACAGAGTTCACACAGTGAATACTGGTGGGAGTGCATGGAGAAGTGGAGTGACTGTGTTTGTCTAAGAACAGAGATGTCCTTGGAATATCAGTGATTACTTTAAGTTTGGTTCTGCAGAGATCAAATTCTGACACGACTGATCTCTTTCACTAAAACAACTCTGCACTGAAGGTGCTGTCAGTTCTGTCAGCCTCCTCTGCAGCAGCTTAAAGCGTTTTATAAGAGGGGTATTATAATGAGACCCCATCATGCACGATTAGGTCAAAGAATATTAAAATCTCTGACGTTTCTTAAATGAAATCAAGCTCTTCTTTAAAACCTTTCCCATGGAAGAGATGGGACTGTGAGGACATGTGTTTGAGGTGTTTATCTATGCGTGGAGCTTGAACTTATGAAGAGTGTTTGGCCGCTGCAGTTTGTTAAGGCTTGGGGTATGATCTCATCAGTTACAGAACTGACGCAAATGAATTAATTTAGTTATTTCATGAATTAAACAGCACCTGCATTTAGATCACTGAGTGTGTTACATGTTAGGAAATCTATAAAAATGTCTCTTGGTGCTTTGAAAACATCAAAGTGGAAATGGGTCAGATGTTGTGTTGCTGACACATTTGTTTAAAAGAAAACTTCAACAAAAAATGGTGTTTTGTTCACAATCGTGATGATTTTCATTTATATTTATTGTCTTGGTTTTGTCTGTGTTTAAATTTAAATAAAGTTAATTTTATTTACAATATATTTTCATGACTAGATTTATCAGGTTTTAAAGGAACTCCTCAGCATGTTTCTTACCATAAAATGTTACACATTTCAGACACCGCAGCTTCATTCTTCAGAGTGTGAACAGAGGCTCAGTCATTTATTTCCCCTACAGTTTAATCTATTTCATCACATTAGCTCAGTTACAGTAATGTTCCAATCAGTGCGTGTGTGTGTGTGTGTGTGTGTGTGTGTGTGTGTGTGTGTGTGTGTGTGTGTGTGTGTGTGCATAGATTAATCTCTAATCCGTTAGTTTATCATCTCTCACTCGGGTGATACGGTTCTTATGCTCTAATGAAAACTATGATCCTATTTCCCCCTCTATCCCTGAAGAGCTAAAGCCACCTTCACTGTGACCTCACACACACACACACACACACACACACACACACACACACACACACACACACACACACACACACACACACACACACACACACACACACACACACACACACACACACTTTTCCTCACTTTTTCTACAACCCCATTTCCTAAAAAGTTTGGGATGTTGTGTAAAAACATGTAAACTCCATATTTAATTGTAAATAGAACAAATTCAACATGTAAAATGTTGAAACTGACAAATGTCAGCGTTTTTAAAAAAACATTTTGTAAGTGTTTGATCAGAGGAGAACAATCCCCTTGTTGTGTTTTTATATTTTAATTGCACAAAAGCCTCATATCAGATTATTCTTTTCAAAATGGTCCTTCACATTTGAAACAACTGGTCACAAAAGCAAAGCTCCATTAAAATACAACTCCTCAAAAACTGGTTATAATGATTGGAAATAGCCAAAGGTCATCTAAACGTTTAATACTGTGATAGCACATGTTTTAAAACATCTCTGTTATTTTAATTATCCATATTATCAAATAGTACAGAAGCTTTCTAAAACTACAGATCTTCAGTCATATTTTTAATCAAAAGCTGCCAAAGGAAAGAAAGAGAGATCAGCTGAGATCCATTCAAATTCACAAGTCAGCAAATACTGACCTCACTCAAGTCACTTTAGCATCTCATAAAGGTGCAAAAGTTACGCTTATGTTTCTTACAAACAGACACAGAGCAGAGCACACTGTCTAAATTGTACAAATATGTTGGCAACATTAAGAAACCAAAACATTGCCAATGTAGACAATGTGTAGGAGTTTGCCTGCAATTAAAAACAATAAATATCCAATATTTGGTGCCTTTGGGACTTCTATTTGTGTTGCTCTGGTCAAACAGATATAAACATTGTTTGATTTTGACTCAAACTATTGCTTAGTTTAATGATATAATATCCATAATGTGAAGAACCTTAACCCTGAAGGATGTGCATCTACAATAAACTCTGACATTTCTAGAATATATTTAAACATTATTTAAAAGGATGTTTTCAAAGTTAAAGTCTTGAGAAGTCTGAGTGCTGATGAATTGTCCTGTTTTTT